ACATCCAATAATATTTACAAAGGAAAAAACCAATGGTAGTTTAACCAATATACAGAATCAATTCACCAATATACACAATTATAAAAAGACTAGAAGCACACTAAGCAGAAAAAAAAAAAAAAACAGTAGATTTTGGCAGCAATTATTAATTAATAGACTTTTTTCTTACTATATTGCTAAATGCAACAAGAAAGAAATGAAGTAAAACCCAGTCAGATAACATAAAACAAAAGTCATTTAAAATTATTTACATACATAAACCAATAAAAAATAACACTAGAATATATAAAAATTTAAATCGATAATTTTAATTCCCTAAAATATTTCTAAAAATTTTGAATGAGAAAGAAAAAAATGGACACTTTATTCCACCATAACAGTGAAATTTAATAAATATATACATCTAAATCAAGAAATGCATATATTTTAAAGCAAATTGTGCAAAAGTTATTATACACCCTTACAAACAAAAAATATTTTAGAACTTAAACTCATAATACAAAAGTAATCCAAATGAGTTTTTTAAATTAATATAAATTTATAGATGATAAAACGTTAGTTAAAATATTATTATACATTTTATTAAACTAAAGAAATCACTTTAGGTAAGATTCACTGTAAGTAAGGTAGCACTGTAACACACCAATATGTAATGAGAACATAATAATAAATATAACAACATATACTATATACTTTTTTAAAAATCACCATGTATTTCAAAGGGTTTTAATTACTACTTGATGATGAAGAACCAGTTAGAATAGTTCATTAACAAGTCCAATAGAACAAAATATTTAGTGTAAAAAAGATATATATATATATATATATATATATGTATTATAGTTTTTTGGACAGATTGATAAATTATTGATCTTTTAGAGACTTCTCGATTTTATGTAGTATTAGTTATTTAATAAAGTGTATTTACCATCATTTACAAATATTTTATGAATATTTAAAAAATAGCAATCAAATTAATTGTTTTTAGTGTATTTTAAATACAACCCATAAGTTCATAGAAAAGTATTAAAAAAGGTTTGTCATATGGTGTCACACAAAGTATCTGATAAGTAAAAAAAATATTAATAATTATACTTTTCCTTTAATAATATGGTAATTTTTACAGATTGATAAAATCATTAGTCTTATGGAAGCTCCTAGTCTTTTATGTAGTATTAGTTATTTTATAAAATTTATTTACCTACTCTAAGTTTTAGCTTGATAGTTAGTGTATGAAAGCTCAAATCATGTAATTGCTGTGTAGTCAGAGATTTGTATATTAAACTTATTATTTTTCATCTATTTTCTAGTAACAAGCTTATTGTTTTAAGCTATAGAATACTATAGCTTAAAACAATAAGCTTGTTACTAGAAAATAGATGAAAAATAATAAGTTTAATCTTTATTATATGTGCACTTTTACACCTTTACTGCTCCTACTCTGTCCTGTAGTGCAATAAATGCTAAATTTAAACATTCATAAACTGATACATTCATCCATTTTATAGCTATAAATTGTATTCTTATTATAGAAAATGCTAGATTTTTTATCATTATTTTTACGATTTATTTAAACATTTCTGACCTTTTTGATTATAGAACTGTTGGCAAGAAATTAATATAAACAAAGTTGTGCTTCCACAACTGTGGTCCCTACTGGAAAATGGTGGCAAAGGAAATGCTCAGGTTCTTTATCCCTGTCTTCTACCTTTCCTAAGCAAACTTCCTTCAGAAATTATAGGAAATGAAAATATTATTTTAAAGTTTTTTGATTCTCTCAAAGAAAGGTGAGAAAAATATTAACATGACTTTTTATTTTAAACTATTTACTCTGAAAAATGTAAAAAATAAAAGATGGTTTCTATTTAGCTAATAAAATTTTTAACTTGCTCTATTAATAAATGTGATAAGAAACAAGTTTTTTTCATTCTAATATTTAATTCATGCCAAACTTATCTAATAGATATTTTTCAATCGCGATTTATTTTTTCAGTCAAAAACTGTTTATCTGTCTGTATAAATCTACATGCAGGTTTTCTCTGTAGATCTGCAATTCTACATTGATTGCAGGTGTCTGCTGACCGATATGTTCATTTATTAAAGTAAAAACTATTTAAAAATTTTAATTTTATGTTTCTTAAGTAGCCTATTTAATTTTTTTGAAAAATCACAAAATCAAATGTAAATTATTTTCTTTTCTTAAAACTTATAAAGTTACAAACTGTGTACCAGGGCTTTCGAATGCATTTTTCCATTTATTATTATAGCCTTTTTCTGGACAATGTGAAGAAGTCTCATATAGAATGTGATGCAATTTTAACTGCTTTAACAGAATGTCTACAGTATATTTGCTGTGTCCGTATAGAAAATTTGGAGCTTAGCTCATCCATATTGAAAAAAGTTCTTCGATTTCATGTAAGATATTGTGTTTTTTATTGTATCATTGTAATTTTATGTGTAAAGTCTAATTTCTTCTTTCAGAATACTTTATTATTCGAAAATAAGTGAGTTTAAAAATTCAATATTAGAATAAATCCCATAAAATTCATTATATCATTGTTGCTTAAGAGCACAAAATTTTCTTAAATATTATTAAAATCAAACGTAAATAATTGAGATATGAGATTTTTGACTTTGCTTAAGATTCAGATTAAGTTTGATTGCTAAGACATCATATTTTGCTGCTGAAAAATTTCATTTATCAATCCTATTTTTTTTTTCTCCAATGGTTGATTGATTTCAGTCTTTATTCTCCCATGTTTTATATTGGTATACTACTGATCAAAATTACTTTCATTGCTTGCTTCCATTTTTCAATGGTTCTTTTCAAATTTTGAAATAATTTTCCCTGACAATGATATTGTGGTATATATATTTTTTAATTTTGTTGTGTAAAAATTTTGTTTTAAATAAAAAAGTGAAAAATTAAAATTTAAAAAAAAAAAGGAAAATTCTGATTTTTGTGACCATTTAAATCAGTAGTTAGGAGAAGGATGATATTGCTTAATATGATCCTATATACACGCTTAATATGATCCTATATATAAGCTGTGTTTACCAACTGGCAAGTTTACCCTTAAGCATTGGGGATCTGATTTTCTTACCTCCTGTTTAAAGATACAAAATATCAAAAGGAAACTTTTTTAGATTTTCCTTATATCTGATAAGGAATGCATAATCCAAATTTGCGACTATCTAGGTGAAAATCTGTTATTTAGTGTTACTTCGAATTAGGCTAATTACCCAGATAATTGAACATCAAACCAATTTTTAGTTTTTTATTTATTTAAAAAAAAGTGTTCCGAATTTTAGTATTCTAACTAAATGGAATGGTACACAATAGGCAGAATTAAGAGTTACTGATGAGTGAGTGTTTGTTTTATATATATATATAGGATTATACATACATACATGTATAATCCTTTCTTTTTTTTTAATATTCACGTGTACTCTAATTTAACACAATGGACATGACCTCACAAGTATTTATAATTTTGTATTACTGATGAAAAAGTTAATAAAACTAAACTTTATTAAATTTAGGTATATGATAAACATAATTTCTTTTTATTTTGTTTATATCTTAGGGATTTTTTTAATTTTATTTTAGGGATTATTTATGAAATGTATAGATTTTCTTTCTTTTGTCAAACTGGATGTTAACAAAAATTTCACTTCATTTTATATTTGAATTATTCAAAATAACTTAATGATTTTGAGTATAAAGCTCTACCCAAAGTTAGCTATAGCAAGAATGGTATCAAGTGAAGGTTACATAACTATTTGTCAAGCTTTATTGTAGAAAAGGAATTATAAAAGGAAAGGGGGAAAAAACAGCAAGTTGATTATGGCTATGTAACTTACTTATTCCTTAGCTCTGAGTCTTGTGTTGGAACCATGACCTCCTTCACAATTTTTCTCCAAAGCCTTAGGGTTTTTGCTTTGATATTTTTTTTATTTTTAAGGTCTGTTTCAACCTCATCAATACATTTTTTTTCGGTTATCACCGATTCCATTGACTTGTATCATTTTTCATTAAAAGTCATTTTTGTTATTTTGTTTTCAATAGATAATAAACTTAGTACAATCTAATTTTTTCAATACTTTATTGTAGGTTGCTGATTTAATACACAAGTCTCTGAGTACTAAAGATGCACATCTTGCAACTTCTAAATTGTATCCATTAGTTGGCTCATTAATATGCAAAGTGGAATGTAAGTGTTTTACTACAAAAGAAGTTTCTGAATGTTTTTCAAAGGCCATTGAAGAGTTTTGGGAATATTTGCTACCAATATTTTATGAAGTCCTTGATTCACCATTAGAAAGTTCTAAGAGTGTGCATGCTATGTATTTGTCCTATTTTTTTAATAGTATATTAGTTCCTACAGAAGCCCTGGTAAAAGCAGAGAAACCTAAAGTTCGATTTGAAGATGAAGTTTCAGAACCTGAATCTTCTAATAACAGTTCCATCATTAGAACTATGGACCCAAACAGTGTTATTCTGTCAAATAAAAAATCTCAATCTTTTGCTCATATTCTTAAGCTTAGCAAATATTTGTGTGACCAAATTGGGGAGAAATGTGACATCTGTTATCTTAATCTTTTAATAGAAGTTTTGGCATCAGTTGCAAATGGCGAGCTTTTGTTTGAGCTTATAATGCAAACAACTGCACAGAAACAGAAAGATGTTTTCTATCAGGATACGATTGCAAGATGGTTGGAAAAAACTGATAATAATTTGCAAAAACTTAATTGCATTGCTGAACTTATTTTTATTTTATGTGCAAATTCATCTGAGGAAGAAGCTACAAAAGTTTGGAATTCAGTTTGCCAGGTAGGAATTTTGTTTTATTTTTTTCTTGGCTATATTTCCTTCTTGTCTTGTAAATGATAAACTTTTAAGCATTTAGTACAAATTATATAACTGCTATAGTGAATATAATTTGGAAGAAAGCTGTGCTTTGAGTTTAAAGACCTTGAACTGTGACTCTGCTAAGGAGCTTCAAAAAACGCCATTATGTTGTTTTAATTCTTACTTATTTTTATATTTTTTAAATAAAGTGTCATTTTTGATATAAGTGATCGCGACAAAATAATCAATATAAGTGATCGCGACAACAGTACATCAAGAATTTCCTAAAATAAATTTATTTGAATAAAATAAATCATTATATTTTTTTCAAAGCATTTTGATTCATATCATCTAGATTCGCAAAATACATATCACAAATTCTATTATAATAAATATACCTCCACCATGTGATGAAATTTTCCTATGCTGGTAATAATTTTTACTTGTTCATGTAAGCATTTATGTATAATTTGAAATTTTACCAATTAAGGTTCTTTTTCTTTCTTTTGAAGATTAAAATTATAATTTTAAAAAAAATAGTAATAATTTAACCAGTAAGTGTTTGTCGATTTTTAACCAATACTCACAACACATTTGTAATTGTTAAGTCTCGTGTGACTATAGTTCTGATCCTAGGGTTATAAAATTGAAATGAACATTGTTTCAAAATCAAAATCTATTTTTCAGTGTCTTTATAAATTGTATATTATAATAGCTGTTCAAAAATTTGGAACTTTCAATTTGATTTTCACATTAACACCTAGGTACAAAATGCTGCTCTTCTACAATGTCTACTCTCTAAAGGTCTTTCCAAATATGTTGATTATCCTCTTTTCCATCAATGGATACAGGGCACAGTCTTCATTACAAATGTGGAATATCTATTGATTCAGTGTCTAGAAGATATTCTTAACAAAGATTCTATCTCTGAGAATGATCTGAATCCAGTTCTAAATGTATTTAAAATATGTATGAAAGCAAATCTATTTGAAAGTAACTATATTTTTCTACTCTTATCATTTTAAGTTCCTATTTTATTCTTTAGCAACAAATCTGTAACTTTTACCATTGAAGTTTTTTTTAGAAATTGACTAATTTGTGGTAATGTTTTAAGATAAAAAAAAAAAAAAAAAAAAAAAAAAAAAAAAAAAACATCTACTCAGAAAATTAGTTGACAGCATCATATAATTCCTATACAGTTGGACTACAAATTTAGTTGATGCTGTAATCAATATTTAATTCAATTACTCTAATAATATTCAAGAGTTTTGCTTCTTGTGGAAAAAAAATTATTACCATGCATGTGTAAAATATATTAATTACCTTACTATCACTTAAGAGCTAATTAATCACTAATTATCACTTAAGAGCATGAGATAACTTAGGATTTCTCAATATTTTAAAAAATAATTGTTATGTTAAGGGGTTAACCATCAGAGCATATAATTCCCGCACTTAAGCTAAATTATGCTCGTACGAGATTAGCTTGTAGTTGTTGGAATAATTTTTCAAAAATATCTTTTAATGTCACTGTTTATTATTTTATTTAATGCTGCATGATAAACATATTGTTATCCTGCTTTAGAGCATTCAAGAAAATGTTAAAAATATTTAATTTTTTATATATCATTTAATCATTAATATTAAAGCATACCCTTACTATTTTATGTAACTTGTATTTATGTTTATGCAGCCAATTTTACTTTTTTTAATCCTTTTCATTCTTCATTATTTTCAAATATTTAAGCACAAAAATATGTCAACTTAAAATTCTCTTTAAAAGTTGTATTGATTTAATTTTAACAAAAATTTCATTTTAAAAAGTAGATTGATACTAATGTTATACATTGCATACTGCTAAGCTGTAATAGGAAGCAAAAAGAAACTTATACTCTCTTACATGCATTACTAATCTAACATCATCATCAATGGCTCAATAGCCCACTGTGGCCTTTTCCTTCTCAAGAAGTTTTATCCAGGATAAAAAAATTTTGCTAGTGTTTTCCAATTTTTAGTTTTTAAGACCAAAAGGTCTTTCTCTAGGCCATCTATCCATCTCAAATTCAGCCTGCCTCTTTTTCGTGTGCCAACTGGTCTGGCATTGAAAACTCTTTTTGTGGTACGGTCTTCGTCCATTCTGATAATGTGGCCTGACCATTTTATCCTTTGCCGTTTAATAAAGTTACTAATATAACAATTAGACATTATATCTTTTTATTTACATATTTAGTTGAATTGTAATATAATGTATAAACTTAATCAAAATCTTCAATTATTCTTTTTTAACATATTAGAATATTTATTAAGGGAGAGTGAATATTTTTTAATTATTTGCTAAAAATATTTATCCAAAGATAAATCGGAAGTCGTTATGGAAAATTCTTCAGGGGAAGGCATTAGGCTGTCTGGCCTACTATGATGATGAAAAATATTAATTAATAGTCCAAGTTTTAATGATGATTTTAATCGTAGCATAAAGTATTATTTTTCATTTTGTTTTATATAGATAAAAAAAAATGATTTAAACCAAGAGAGAAACCTGCCTTTTTGAGACAGGTTTAAAATAGTTTTTTTTTTTACCCTTGTTGTATTCTGTTTTATCAAGCTATGTCCATGCGCTTAACTTTAGTGGAAAAAAGAACTGCAGATTATTTGCCAATAAAATAATTGTAAATGAGTGAGATCAGGCATTGTAATAGATTATTTTGCAATCTTACGAGACATTCACAGAGTTACCACTAAAGGTGAACAGAAATAATCAGCGGTGTAAACAAAGTATGATTTGACTAATAACTTTAATGAATTTGTGTGAATGAAATTTTTTATGCTGTTGAGCCATCAAGTGCTTAAGTTTTTTTTAACAAAAAAAAGAAACTTTTAGTGATTGCAACTAGTTTTTAACTTCATACAGAATCTTGTGTATTATAAACTATTATGTTTTGAAATCTAATTTCTTCATTAATTCTAACAATATATTTTAATTAGGTAATAACCTTTTACATAATACACATTTGAAGCATGTCATACAATCATTGAAAGAGTTTGCTGACAAAATTCTTGCTGTATCAACAGAAAGCCCTAACTTTAAAATAGGCTTAAATTTCCTCTGTGATGTTGGAACTTCTATTGTAAAGAATTCTATGGTAAGATCACCCTAAACCTTTTTTTACATGTTTCCTGCATATTGTTTCATATTTTTAAGGTAAACAAATATATATATTCTTTTTAATGAGCATAAAGGGTAAGGCAAATTGTTTTCATTTGCTTATGAATAAAAAGTCATATTAATCTTTTTTTATCCCAGATTGCCAATTAAAGTTTAGTGCCAAAGCAGCTGGAAATATGACTTAATTTTTATTAGAGAACCATATTAAAAAGTAATTAAAAATAAAAATAATCTTTACTATGTGTAAAAAGCTTTAATAAATAGCACATAAAAAAGGAAGAAATATTTACTGGTATGTGTATAAAATCTTTAAGGCATCATAATCATTCATAGAAAACTCACAAGCTATAAAATTCACATGGTGTATAATGTAGAAAACAACATACAAAAAAGTTGGAAAGTTTAATTAGTGAAAAAACACCAAATATATTAATTCATATTTTTTGTTTCAAACATTTGATCTGAATTATTGGTTATTGACAACTTACAGAACTATCAAATATAGAATTTTTTTTTTAGAAATTTAAAGTAGCATATAAAGTTCTATTAACCCTTAAGTCAGGGTTGGCAGGTTTTTGACATGTGACAGTTTTTGACAGTTTAAACCATGGTTTAAACCGTCACGTCAAAAACCTCACTGTCAAAAATGTCGAAAATGTCAAAAACCTATATTCATATGTGAAATTTAATTAATACATAAAATTTATATATTTTTTATAAAGGATAGTGTTTCTAAATATGTTCTAGAAAAAATAAATTTAAAATTTTGAAGAAACACTTATATTTTGAATAGTAACCAAAATCTTGTACTTTTGAAAGCTCACATCTTTTGTAATATTATGTATTCATTTTCATGTGTTATTGAAAATCTGCAGTGATATTATTAAGAAATTTATTTATAACCAAATTTAGTGTATAGTATAGATTATACTAAAAATTAGACATTTTTAAAGATAAACATTAGCAGTTTTGTACATTAGACATCTTTTAAAGAAAAATCTTTTTAATATTCTTTTAAATCTTCTTAATAATCTTTTTAACATAAGACAATACAAATTTAAGTGCTTTCTGTTAAATACACAGAGTAGTTAGTGTCGATTTACAGTATATTCAGCCTATTCATTTACTATGCTGAAAATTTAGTTTATCCAAATACTTGTGAATTTCATTTTGCTGAATACTATATACATAGTTTTGTTGAATATCTAAATATTCAGCTGTTGAATAATTACTTCTTGCTTTCAAGATATGCATTATTTGTATTCTTAATACAAGTGGGGGAAAAAAATTAAGAGGTAAAAATTGTTTTAAAATGATAAGTGTAATAATTATAAATAAATATAATAAACAATATGAATTATATTTATCATTATTCACAAATATAACTACTTTTAAATTCAAATTAACATACTGGATAATAAAGATATTCGGTATAACATTAAAATTTTTTTTCATACACTTGTATCAAGTTTGTATTTATACAACATAACTTGTAAGTTCCTTATAAATATTAGTTATATGTTCCTTATATGTCAAAAATGCATAGTAATAAACTTTTAATTTTCTTAAGTATCAAAAAAAAAAAATTTTTTTTTTAAATATAAATATTTAAACAATTTTTGTGCAAAATTTTTCTGCACATGCATTTGAATATAAATTTCTGAGATTTTAAATCTGTTATTTTACCTTAATTTTAATTAAAAAATATTTTAAAACCTGCTGATTACCTATAGTATAATTAAATTTCAATATAATGCATGGCAACTGTTGGTAGTTTTGAAGTTTATATATTTTCTTGGCAAACTTCAGTTTTTGACATTTTTGACGGTTTAAACCAGTATTATACCCTTGTCATGTCAAAAACTACTTTTTGACATCAAAAACCCAACCCTGCCTTAAGTGTTTTTAAGTATTATATTTTTAAACTCATCCCTTTATAAAATTTTTGGTTAATACAATGTTTTTTTTTTTTTTAATTATTCTATGGTGCATATTTTTATTGATTTCTTATTCATTCTAAATTTTTACAAGTATTTGTTACTGCTTTTAATCACTACATATATTGATGTGTATATGTTTTCTTTGTTTATAATTTCAGATTTTAAGATAGAATTTTAGTTACTCAAACTAATTTCAATCATAAATATTACTAATTATAAATGTTCTAATTTAGATTACTATATTTCAAATACATTATGTTTTATCTGTTACAGATTTGCTGGGATTTCAGAGATATAACAGAATTGATATTTGCACTTTTTCATCACAATCTAACAAACAGTGAGTAGGAAATAACTCATTTAATAGCACTATTTTAATAGTATGCATTTCAAATATTTAAAAAATATATATATCAGTGGTTTAGTAAAATTAAATTGATTGGGCTCAGAGACTCTTAGCCATAGTCATACTAAAGGGATCAGAATTAAACTTCAAATGTATATGTATAGATAATGCTGTCATGGTTTTGAAAGAAATAAATGTATATATAGATTGTATATATAGTACAATAAATAGATTAAAATTTTACCAAGTAGCAGCATTGCAACAAAGTAAAAAAAAAATTTCAAAACTTGTGCATACCTTGTTGGTGAGCATTATTCTGAAACCATACTTCCCTGTTATCAGTTATTATGTATGTGTATAATTTTAGCAGTACAGACTCATGTAATAGAAAATTTCAAAACTATTTTTTTCTATCACAAACCTTGACCGGGTGTTCTATATCAGTGTTCCCCAACCCCCGGTCCGCGGACCGTTACCGGTCCGTGGATCAAATGGTACAGGGCCGCCCATTTCATTAAAACTAAATTTAAATTCCTAGGTTTATACCCCAAATTAAATATATCTGTCTTCCTTTAAACTTTTATTTATTTTAAAAAGGGGGCCCCCGAAGGTAGTGACATAAATTTTTTATTGTTTGTAATGTATTATTGTCTCCAATTACCACCAGATCGAACCGTCTCATTGCAAGGAAACAAACTCAGGGTTCTCATTGATTTAACATTCTAGTAAGTTAAAATGTTAAATCACTTTATATTTATTTTTTGGCGCAACTGTATTTTATTTTGAAGGCATGTTTAAATACAATTAAATTAAAATTAATAAATCAAAATAATCTAAAACATAAGCAATCAACATCTCCCCCCCCCCAGAGGGCCGCGATAAAATTATCAAACGTTGACAGGTCGACGGTGATAAAAAGGTTGGGGAACACTGTTCTAGATAACGTGTATTTACCAATCCATTCTGATCCCTTTTATAGAACTGGAGGTATGAGTCTTTCAGTATCTTAGTTCAATTTTCATCCTGTATTTCGTATCTGTGTATTGTATCAAAAACGATATCAGGGTAATAACAAACAAAAATACACATTTGATGTTATTAAAATTACCTTGCATTTTTCATTGACTGCTTGACTTTCAAAAAACACCGTATTCTATAAGCAATAAAATTTCTGCTAGGAGGTGAAATTAGTTGTTTTGCAAAAGGATCTTTTTTGCTGTTTTCCTCTATTTGTTAGACAATCATGACTTATGCTTTAAGGAAAGTATTAACTTATGCATAACTATCTCATTTTTTAAAGTTTCTTGAGGAAAGTAGATGATTTAAAAAGTTAACTTCTACAGTCCAAAAATTTCAATAGTTAGAAGTTGAGGAATGTTATAAAGCAAAACAAATAAAAGTTTTCCTAGTTTAGGAAATTTTCTTTTTTTTCTGCTGATATTTTATTTATAGTTATCTAAATTTTTTAAGTTCCTTGAGGAAAGCGGATGATTAGAAAGATAAACTTCTACAATTCAACTATTTCAATATTTGAAAATTGAGAATCGTTATTAAATAAGGCAAAAATGCAACAAATAAAAGTTTTCATGTTTTATTTATTGTTTTCAGCAAATCTGATAGTGTGGAGTTTTGTAGTTTTACTACAATTGATTTTGTGTTTTTATCTGATTTTGAAAAATGTTCAATTCCAATCAACTATACAGTACAATAGTAGTACACAGTACAACAATATACCATAGAATTTTTAATAATGAATTGGGAAATTTTCCCCTAAATTTAGTTTTAGTACAGAAATGCTAATTAGCAAATTCATTATGTTTTTGCTTAGAGATTATTGAAGTCCTACTTAAAAATTATTTTATTAAGGATGTCATGATTTTGATTACAAATTTTTAACAAAATATTGGCATGAAGAAATATTAACTAATTAATACTAATCAATTTAGAAAAATTTTGTGTGTATTAATCTCGAACTATTGTGAGTTGTTCAGTACTCCATTTATAAAGTCATATTAGAAACTGTTGAAACTTTCTATTCTAAATATAATTCTAAAATCAAATTCAAATTGGAAGAATTAATTAATTAAGAGAACTAATCTCGTAATTAATCTTAAATGGAAAGAATTAGTCTTGTAACTCTTTCTGATTAAAAAACTTTTAATTCAAGCATATTATTTATTTTTTTTAATTTATCCTTTGCCCTCTTTAAAAATAATCTGGTGTATGTTTACTGTTCCAAAAATATTCTTTTTATTCTTCTTTCTTTTCTTATTTTGCCTTGATTTTTTCTTTAGCACACTATGAGGCCTGGAAATTTCAATAACGCTTATGTTTAAAATGTGTTAATGTCCTTAGTTTTTATCATAATTTGTTTTATATACTCTCTTGTTCATATCTTTTTTTTTCTACTTTACAGAGAAATCATTAGAAAATTTGACTAACTTTTGGTGTACAGCTGTCGAATGCTATATCCAGTCTAAACCAGAAATTGTTCATGATAACAGTCTCATACTGAAAATTGCATCCGATTTGCATTCTAATATTCTGTGTTTAACTTCTCTTGATAAGTATGATTTACTTCATATTATATATATTATATACTTTATATATTATTTTTGATATACTTTGAAAGGTTTTTTCTTCAGTTGAAATGTAATTTAATTACATTACTTTTAGAAATACATTTAAAAATTGTTTCCTTTTGTCATCATATTCAAAACAAAAATTATATATTTTGAAGTGCATATGTTAGACTGCATCAAGCGCATTAAATATTTCCGTTTAACAATTTTAGTGGGGGTCCACGATGAAATCTAAATTTCAGATTTTCTTTAAAGAAGTTTTTAAATTTAGTATTTTTTATACATAGTTGCTTATGTATTTCAGTAAATCATAACTATTAGTATATTTCCTGAGTATAAGTATCAACAAATTATACAGTTTACCAGTTTGTTTAACTTAAGAATTTCATTTTAAACTTATTACTATTTTTAATTTAGTTTATCGTGCACTGTATTTCCTCTTTGTTTCATCTAATGGACACAATTTAAACTGATTTTTATTATTGGTTTAAACTGATTTCTTACTTTTGGTTTGATCGGATTTTCTACTTTTGATAATTTAAACTGTTTTTTTTTAACACAGTGACTAATTTATGCTTTTTTAACAATATAGCTATTGTACTAGATGTTATTATTCAACTTATGTTATTATACAACTAAATGTTATTATGCAACTTATTGTAACTAGACCAGGAAATGAAATTTCACCTCTAAAGGTAGTAGTCATACTAAAATTTTTGTCCGCCACTATTTTCACAAAAAAGACAAACAATTTATTAAAATATTAACAGAGTTTTTAGTGGTCACAATCACAAAAGACTGTAGAAAACTATAGCCCGAATTGTTATTATCTGCACAAAATGCTATAACTGCACAAAATTTTATTATCTTGAGCAAATTTGGGAAACTCGCAGAACACTCATCACTGTTAAACTTCTCTAACATCTGAGTTGATGTTAATGAAGCAAACATAAACTTGAATTCTCCCAGTGCAATATCCCCTTATTCATAACGGAAATTTGGGTTTAATTCTATTAAAAATACTTATTGTTCTCAATCTCTAATTCAAGAAATTTTATTTTGAGAAAACAGTTTAAAGTCTGTTTACATAGATTTCAGTCTTCTTTGTGCATGTTTAATTAATCTCCCTCTTAAAAACAACTCTCCATTTTTAATATTTGCTCAATGCAAAAAATATAATAATTTGATTTGAAACATAAGATTTTATGAGACAAAATTTACTTGCCAGCCCTTAACATTGGGTCGCCAAAGACGAGCTGGTGAGAGGCAATTTCGATCCGGAACTGGATAGTCTGCAAATATTTTTAGTCTTGGTAGAGAGGTAACTTCTTATATTAAGAGTTATGTCCCTTATTTGAAAATCTGCACATATTATTAACAGGGTAAAACAGAAGCTAACTTCAATCAATATAAAATAACCAAATGACAAAATTATTGAGGAAACTTAAATGAAAAGAACAATAGGTTTGGCTGAAAGGAAGAAAGAGGGAGAAAGTTCAAAAAAGTTTGTTCTAACCTAATATTAAATGATATTCCCTATTTGACTGATTGTGAAAGGATTGAAACAATGGAAGTAGAAAACCCTGATTTTGAAAGATCCTCAGCAAGCACTTAATCAGAAAATGAGAATGGAAGCAAGTTTAATAGTCCTATATGATATTATAACAAGAACTTTTCTTGTTTCATTAGCCCCACACTTAAGTATGATTACAGGGTAACAGGCAGCATATACAAAAGCATTAATTACAGAATTAGGAAGTGAGACAGCTAAAATTGCTAGATCTTATGCAAAAGTAGATAAATCAAGAGGATAACTTGCAAAAACGATTTCAACTATATACTAAAAACAGTGGTACTTTTCTAAACACTCATCTCAGCACTATGATTCAAAACTTCCAAAAACACTGATCAATAAATGCAGAATGTCTCACTATTAAGGTTGAGAACATTTGCTTGCAAAAAATTCTTTGTGAATCAATAATTGCTGACTTAATATCTGAATAGCTCACATCATGGCAATGTGCACATTGTGAAAGTGGCATTAGATACTTTTTCCAATACAGGCCATATTTCTGCTACTCCTGTGTCAATTAGCAAGAGAAATTGGGACTTTGGTCAGCCTTAAGCTAGTTGAATCGCCTTTTGGATGGTTTTATAAACATCGTGTTTTTTTTTGTTTTTTTTTAGTCAAGAATAAATGCTTTGAAATCATGAAGAAAAAAGTTGTAATAAGCAAAAAAAGAATTATTCTGGAACTGAATAATAATTAACCTAACCTTTATTTGCTGATAAAAAAAAATTTTCAATTTATCAATTATATTAATTTTTTATAGCATTCTTGCAATTTTAAAAAGAATTAATTGTTTTTTTGCATTGACAATCCATTATTCATTTGGTACTAAAATTCTACTGTGTTTTTCTTTCATTTCTTTTTCTTTTCACTATTAATCATATTACAATTAATTATTTTGAAGCAGTTTTGATTGTATGGAGGAAACATAATTTATTGAATTTCAATTTGCATTTTAATATTTCGACTAAAAGGATCTTCATTACCACAGAAAAATATCTCCCCTAAACTAGAAAAATTTCAATACTGATTGGAATCCCAACAAATGACAATATTTTTCTTTTCTAAAAACAAGGAGATCCTTATAAATTTCTTTTATTCTATTTACCAATATATTATTTATATACTGTATCCAAACTCATTGCCGACCGGCCTGTGTAGGGGGCAGGGAACTGTCCTTGCATCAGAAAGGTTCTGGGTTCGAATCCCGGGCAAGGCATGAATGTTTCTTTCTCTCTCTGTGTTCTATGTCCTTTCTCCTTTTTGTGTGTGAATGGTGTGGCAGAAGTCGAATTCTTGCCCATAGATGGTGCCACTGAAAAACAGGAACAATCGCACCCCCTCTGCCTAAACAGGCATACGACAACAACAAAAAATCCAAACTCATTGTGTGTCAGAAAATGTATATTTATCTGTGTATATCTATATGACAGGATTAATATTACAGTGACTCATTTTTCATAGGTCTATGCGAGTACTCGATCATTATTTACTACTACTTTCCTCTGTGCAAGATTCTTTAAATTGTCAAAAATCAACATTGCAATATTCAGGCTCCTTTGCATTATCTAAACTTATTGATGCAATTTTACCAACAGAAGAAGAATGGCAATTATTAAGAAAAGATCACAATTTTGTAAGTCCTTTATTTATTTTTACTATTTAAAATAACTTAAGCTGAAATATTTATCCATAATTAATTATTTTTTAAGCATTTTGATATGAAAGAGCAATTTTTAAAAAAAAGTTTTTATTTCTATTGTAACAATTTAAAAGATAATTAGTGAAAAATAAATCAAAAAATTTAAATGTAGAAAATATTTTAATAAAGAATAATGAGATGTAGTTAAAAATATATTTTAGAAGATAATTTCCCCCTATAAATTTTCAACTTTATTACCTTATTGATAGTCAATGTAAAAAATGTCTAACTGTGCTTACCTATCAACCTGTATTTTATAATTTTGTAAATCTTTTATTTAAGACTTAATGCTGATTCTTTCATGTCATTGTTGAAGTTTTAACAAAATCTTTTATGGTTGGGAAATTTAGTCAACACTCCATAGTATTGTTATACATGCACAGATACATATCGCACCCCAGCAAGAAAAGTGACACAAGTGAAAAAAAAAAGCAATTTTCAGGTTATGTCTATAAAAAATATGTATTAAGTGCCCCATTAAGCTCAAAAAATGTCACATCTCTAACTCGCAATTTATCCAGCTGAGGTTACTTGTGTCAGTTTTGTGTCTAATTCAGAATAAGAGTTATAGTATTCTTTAAGTTGTTTTTTCTCAAATGCTGCATTTTAGTTGTGACACTTTTCTTTGCCGGGGTGCAATATATTGAACTGGATTTGTTAATTATTGAGAATAGTTTTCCATAAAATAGCTTAAAAATTTTTTTTTGTAATACTAGTGATGTGATTTTACTATCATGTTATGTCTTTATTTTTGATTCTATATCTGCATAAATATATTCTTACACTTTTCCTGTAAATTTGAATATTAATTAATGTTAAGTTAATTAAATACAACGTTGTATAACATGTTGAATTTGTTAAGATATAATTCTTTCCTATCTACATCTTTTATTTAACCTCGATTTATTATTTATTTATATATTTCATTGTAACTGTGATCGTTTTTGTTTTGTCCATCTGGAAACTTGCATTTTTTTTTTTTTTTAATGTTTTAAGTGTTACTAATTTAGGTAGAGTAATACTCACATTTCTGGTACCACACAAGAGAAATAAATATATAGATTAAATAGGTGGTTTTCTTACTAGGTGGATCAGTATGCTACATGCATTTTAAAAATTTACTGTTAATTCTTACTTTTCCTATGAAAATTATTTATAATACCACTTACAACAAAGCCTAGTACTTCAATTAGTTACTTTAAATTAGTTAGTATTATAATTATAGTAGAAGTTAATGTTTAGTATAAATAATATTTAATTACTATATTAAATCTATTATCTTAAATATAATATTATTTAAAAACTTACTTATTTTATCTATTTTGCAGAGTACAGTTCCACTTTTCTTAGAAAAAAAATTATTTTATCCCTTACTAATGGAAGAAAGCTTTTTTCCTTCTGGAGACATTCATAAAGGATTGCTATCAGTTTATGTTGTTTCTAAAATTATTCTAAAAGAACTACAAAGAGAGGATAGTTTTGTAGATGAAAAGTTTTTAGAATCTTGTGTTATCAAGCACTTCCCCCATACGTTGTGGTTTTCAACTTTTTATGAAGAAACTAGTGCTGCTGATGTGGTGAGTTAAGACTTTTTCTTTTATTTCACGCTTTTCTTTTAAGTTTATTGTTCAGTCCTTCATCTTTAAAAATTTAATTTCAATTTACAAACCTGGGTAATTCTAATGTTTGTCATTCCTCCATTGAGCAGAAAATTTTTCGAGTAATTGTAATATTGTTCTAGATTACAGTTTCTTTGATTTAAAATTTCCTCCAAAATTAGTTTTTTTTTTTTTAAGCTACAATAACTTTTTTAAAATATTTTTAGAACTTATAGTTTGTGTAGCATTAAAACTTTTTTTATATTGTTTTCTTTCTAACAAAGAAAAAATTCATATATGTTTACACGATTCTTCTATAAACTAGCTTATGTTTCTATAAAATAATATAAATCAAAATATATTGAAAATTTTCATTCATGAACTTAAAGTATTCAAAATAATATATAAACTAATTGACATATAAAGTCAGTGGAATTTTTAACATAACAGAAATTTTCTCTATAGACAATGAGTTGGTTTATGCTCTATAGTTTAGGAATGTGGTTGACATCGTGCATCAGCTGTCTCTATTTTCCAGACAAGCTGGTATCCATTGGTTTAAATCTGAGTTTGCTTCAAGCGGCCATGTTAGATTGAACCCCAGTTCTTCACAATGACTGGTCAGTGCCTTTAACCACTGAGCCATCATGAGTCACAGAGTCTAATTTTAATCTTTTAATCACTATTGAAGAGTGTTTTAGAATTAAATTTGTATGTTTATGTTTTTCAATCATTGAACTTGTTGAAACTCAACTTTTAACAATAATTAATCACAATTTTTTGAAAATTTCAGTTAAATGAAGAACTCTCTAGTTTAAAAATTAGTGAAGATAGTTTCAAAATGTTAACCTTTTTGCCAAAAGGAATCAACGACATTATGAACAAAATTCTAACTGAGTGAGTACTGTTATTTGTAGCCTAACTTATGTAGTTATAAAATTTATAATTACAGGAGTTTAATAATTCTTGTTCCATACATTGCAGGACTCTCAACAATGGATGCTTTTGGGCTGTTCCTTTACACTTTCTTATGAAACATTTTAACCTTCTGCAAACTGAAAATATTCCTTTAATGATAGAAGAACGTCTGAAAGATGAAAATTTGTGAGTTAAAAAGCTAATATTTTTATCATTAGTATTATAATATATTTCCTGTTCATAATATATATGTAATTTTTTTTTTTTAACTTCAGATATTGTTTGAAAGAAATAAGCTAAATGTCAATAACAAAAACACAATTTTTTCCCTGCATTTTGTACTTGTTGGTATTTACCTAGTATCTAAATTAAATGTTTTATTTCGAAATTTTAAATGACATTTTCTTTCAGTTTGAAACGAATCCCGAATTTCATTGAGCCAATTTTCAAAATATTCTCAAATTAAAGGAAAATGACACATCTAACTTATAGTTTAACCCACTGACCTTCTCCATGTAAAAAGTCTTATTTTTACCTGTATAGCAAAACTAGTTTTTCCATGCTATTAGATAGGGGAATAGTGTATAGAGGAGAAATTTTGCCCATTTTCTAAACTGCCAGTGGGTTAATCTACAAAAAGTCTTTTGTTTTTAGCTATAAATGTAGAAGTATCACCTTTATGTATAATTTTTTTTTCCTTTTTTTATTTTAAAAAATAACTATTTTTTACTCTTTTAGGTCTGAAAATTTACATAAAAGTGTTCTTCAGCAAATAGTAATCCCTTATCTCTCTATTGAAAAGCAGCAACTTCAATTTAAATTGACATTGTATCAACTAGCTCAAATAAGAGAAATTTCCAATAAAAGTGAGCTTGCATTCTTTTTTATTTTTTACAATATAAAAACTAAACTTGTTTCTCTAAACAAAATTTGAAAAATTAAATGTTTGTTTTAATAGTAAAAATTATAAGAGGACAATGTAATTGGTATTTATTAAAATTGGAACTACTACTGCAAAGAAATAAATTGTTCATTTATAACTATTTTTCCCTTTCTAATTAATTCCTTCTAAACAAAGCTTCATTGAATATTTTTAACTAATAAAAAATTATTGGTCTATCAATAATAACCAAACTATTTTTATCATGACTACTTGCAGAGTTATACTTTAAAAATAAATTTGTTCATTGATTCTTTAGATTTTGCTGAAAAACTGGGTGAAATATGCTGTTATTTACAAAATGAGGATTTATCTTTAAGTACAGATTTGCAAAATCTTTTGGCTGAAACTATATGCAAGGTTATCGAGTATGTGTTTAACTTACTTTCTATTTGAAAAAAAAAATAATAATAATGTTTCTTAAATACTTGTGTTTGAAACCTAAAATTTAATAGAGCTCTTGTACATTCCATATTTATTGTGTTTTTAAATAGTTATAATATCATAATTGGAACCTATAATTTAATAGAGCTATTGTACATTCCTTTTTTATTGTGTTTTATTTATATCATTATTTTCACTTTTCGTACATCTCCAGCATGTGGGCACCGCAGATTATTACAGCATCTGTAAATTATGTGTCATCAAAGTTTTCTTTCTGTTTTCAAAAAGTAAACAACCAAAGGGAGAAATATTGCTGAGACTCCAAACTTGTTTTGAATAAAAATTAAAAAGTTGAATTGAGGGAGCATTGCTAAGAACAAAAAGTAAAAAATTGCTTTTTTTCCCCTATTACTTGATTATAGGCTTAGCTGTTAGCATTTTTTTCAGTATCATTGTATAAAATTCATCTTAAATTTAAACAACGTTAAGTCTTTGCATTTATGCATAAAAACTTTTTTTGTTTATATATAATTTGACTTTAAGGACCTTGTGTTTTCAAATTTTACACTTAATTAAATTATCTTTAATTTTTACAATAACAATCTCTGTGAGACTGGGTTGATGTGCAGACGAATTTGGTTTTATGAAGATAGTTCTGCAGTTTCACTCTTTAAATTCTGCTAATCAGGGATGAGATTTTTCCGCTTTTTAGCGGATTTCCGCTTTTATCTCTTGAATTTCAGCTTTTTTTTTTAATCAAAAATTCATATTTTTTAAAAATTTCACTTTTTTTTATAAGTATTCCGCTTTTTCAGAAAATTTACCGATTTTCAAAGAGAAACAGAAAATTCAAACTACATGGCTACCAATCCTTTCTCATTTTTACTTATTTTAGCTATTTTCTCCCCTTTTACACGCAGCAGATAAGATTTTCCGAATTTTTTACCCGCCCTCCAGATAGATCCGATTTTCGTAGTTCAAACGACGCTGCTTCTGACAAGCCTTTTAGAGGTCCCAAGCCTGGAATCTGCTAATATCTCGATTCTTATTCACACGATTTTAATATCAAACATAGCTTTTCATATTTGCGTGTTGCGATTCTTATTCACGCGATTTGAATATTGTACGTTGCGATTCTTATTTACGAGATTTAAAAATCCGATATTGTGATTCGTATTTACGCCTTTTTAAAAACCTATGTAGCGATTCGTATTCACGCAAGTTTAAAATTCAATGTCTTGATTTGCTCATGCGGTTTATAATATCAAACATTGATTTTCGTATTTATACGTGATTTTAAAATAAGGCATTGGGATTCGCATTCACGCATTCTAAAAATTATGCATCATAATTCTTATTTATGCAATCTAAAAATTACGCATCATGATTCGTATTTACGCGATCTAAAAATTATGAATCGTGATTTGTATTTACGCGTTTTAAAAATTCTATATCCCAGTTTGTATTTTCTCATTTTCAAAATCGTATATCTAGTTTCATATTCATGTGATTTCAAAATCCATAATTGTTATTCATATTCACGCAATTTTAAGATCAACTATCGCGATTCTTGTAAGAAGTAAATTTTTTTTAAAAATTAGTTACTATAAAGGTGACTGTTTTTCTAACGACGATTATTAGTATATGTAAGTGTTACAACATCAGAGAAACTGGAAGGGAATATATTCAAAACTTACATTCTGTGCTTGCAAAGAAGAAAAAATAGGATTTGTCACAAGATGTTTGAAGATGGATTAACGACTAAATATAGCAAACATAAAAGATACAGCAATCACTTAAAAAAGGATTTTTTTTTTTTTGTGGAAAAAGAGTTAATTAACTCATCTTCAAAATTTTATTTATAATCGCTGTTATTTATGCTATAATGCAAAATTCTTATCAAATAAAAAACAATTATCTAAACAGTTGCTGATTGTTATGTAATTTTTCAAACTAAAATAGCAATTCTTGTATGTTAAGGAGTTACTATATATTTCTACTTCACTGTTGTTGATATGTTTCAGAGGGCTCTAGTTAGATTAGACTATAATATGAACATAATGATTCGGTCCATTGTTGAAGTTTATTTTTTCCTATATAATTTAAAAAGTAATATTACTGATATATTTGCTATAAATCACAAATCAATTTGCTATAAACAGTATTTATTAAAAGAAATGAAATATTGATGTATATTCTCAGTAGTTTTAATTTGCAAAACCAGGTAGTTTTTCAAGTAATAATTGTCTCTTATGTGAGCTGAGGAAAAATATAATTTCCAGCTTTATTTTTTCAATTGGTAATTTTTATTTTCACTAAATGTTAAGTATCAATGTAATCATTTATATAATAATAGATTAGTACAAAATTGTACGTCAACACATTATTTATTACCTTAAACTGTCTGGAATTTATTATTAAAGGGTTGTGATTGCGTAAAATTTACTATCGTGGAAATTCAGCTTTTTTACTTTTTGGCTAATCTCATCCCTGGCTAATGGGTTCTTTGGTAATACTGTATATTATTAAATCTAATTAATATTTGCTTAAAATTATATTTTCTGGTATAAAAAGGAACGTCATTTATCATAATATTGAATTTTTTTCAGTGTAATAAAATCAAACTTAACTCTTATTTCATATATGCTTTTAATATTTTTACGAAATTTTAATGCATGTTTTAACTTATACATTGAAATTTCAAGGCGCAATTTTTAGACATTATTCTCATATATTAAATACTTGTGCTTGAAACCTAAAATTGAACAGTGCTCTTCTGCATATCATATTAAGTATAATTAATGTTGATTAAAAATATTTCTTGATGATAAAATTTTAACATCTTGCTAATACATTTATCATAATATTGAATTCATCTCAGTTGTACCATCAAACTTAATTCTTATTGCATACTCTTATTATTTTGATAATATTTTACTTTTTTTAACTAATTCATTACAATTTCTAGGTATAATTTCCCTAATGACAATATGAAGTTTTCTTATCACTTGCAAGTAGTAGCAGTTTTATCTTCTGTTGTCAATTGTGGAGCTAACTTTTTTAATGAGACTATTTTGAATTATCTTGGATCAACTATGAAATCCTTGTCTCAGGTGTATAACGCTTTCTATCATTAATCTTATTTATGTTCTATTCTGTTGCATTTAATGTTATTTAACCCCTCAAGATCTGCAAATGGTAAAAGGACTGTTTCCCCTCGCTTGTAAAATCCAAGTTTATGCATACTTAAGAATGCATATTAATTTGTTAATTATTTATTACTAGGCAAGATTTATTTAATCATTTATTACTAGATATAATATGAGAATACAATATTAAGATCANTGAAAAGTCCTGGAAAGTCCTTGAATTTCAATCTCATCATAGAGTGGGAACCCTGGAATACCATATTAAGATCATATCCATATGATTTTAAGCCACTAGAGTCAGAAAGGCTCATTTCATATAAGATACTGTGGGTTATGAAGGGAGAATTGTTCAATCTCATATATGTGATCGTGGTCCTGAGGGAGTTTATAAAATTTCTCTTTTTTTTAAATCATTTATTTATTTAAATAAGAGTTGCGTTGACTTAGGCCATAAATAATCTAACTAGAATAAAAAAACAATTTCAACAATCACTGTCAAAATGGGGGTTTTTTTTTTCGAAAATTTTTGTTTCATTCCATGTTGAAGAAAACTTATATATGTTAGACAGAATTCTAGATGTTTATTAAAGATTGTTATGAGAAACATTTGACATTGTACAATCATTAAAGCTTTATTTTCATTCTTAAACTTCTAAGCATCTAAAAATGTATGAAATCACACTGAGGAATGGAAAAGATTCCTATAATCACTGTTTCAACAATTTGGAGGGAAGAAAGAAGAGGAGAGCAATATCTATTTGTATTTTACCTGTTTTTATATAATGCAAATTTTTTATTTTTTTCATTACTCAAATTTTCAGTATTTTTTGCTTTCATTGGTATTTTAAGCTATCAACTTTTTACTGTATTTTAATTTTGCCCTTTGATTTGTATTTTCATGGTTTTGTTTTCTTTCATACTGATTGTTTGTTTCACTTGTTCATTTATTTTGCTGAAAAAGTAAACAATTTCTTTTTATTTTCTTAAGAAACAATTTTTGAAGAAATTTGAAAATCCTGCTGCAGTTTTGAAAGCTTATCAAACCTTTGAAGCTTTTTCCACAATGTCTATTATATGCAATGATCAGGAATCATCTAAGAAAGAAGACGTGAAGAAACAATTAGTTCTGGATGATGAGTGTTTCACAAATATAGTTTCACTTTATCTTTATGTTACAAGTAAGTGTCACATAGTGTAACTGAACTCTTTTACATGTAATATGTATGTTTTTCTTTTATTTTATATTTTCTTTTCTTCTCATTACAAGTAAAAATAACGAATTCTAAAGTTTAATTAAAATTCAGTTGTTTAACTGTGTATAATATATTATTTGAAAAATAAATGTGCGAAACAGATTTGATTAATTCCAAGAGAAATTATTCATTTATTCACAACATTATGAAAACTAAGTCCTGGTATGTTATGAAATTTAATTTAAAATTATTGTAGAATTCTGGTTTACTGAAAACTTTAGCACAAAATATTTTTGTTTAAGCAAGATTCTATTAAGCTTTCTGGAAACCAGGTAGCATTCATTTGCACTCTATTTTCCGATCATAATGAATCTTTTTAGTGATTATTATTATTTTAAATCTAGAAACTAGTAGTTATATTTGGGGTAATTCACTAATTCTTTTCATAGTATTAAGTTTGATACACCGTAAATCTTAGTCGTTTTGAAATTATGTTTCATTTTTTTAAATTCAGAGAAGCGTGTCCATAAAATGAAATTTTCTAAGCGGTGGATTATACTATATTTGTAGCTGTTTGTTTTCCCTTTATTAAAAATAGTCTAGTATGTATGTACTATTTAAAATGTCCTGGCTGCAAATCATACCAAAAAAAAGCGTGTTTGCAAGCAAATGAAGGACATTTTACTTAAACCAATTTTAGAATGACTGAGATTCTGTTGTAAGATTATAATTTCCATAGATCCAATGTATTTGTTTCTTATTTCTCAAACAGAAATTCAAATAGTTTTTAATTTTCTGAGAACATTTTTATTTAAAATATTAACTACAAAGTTGCCAAAAGGATTTATTTGTTAAAAAAAATTATTTTGGTTTATATTTTTATATTGGATCATGCTTATGCTTTAAATAATTTATGTTGGGGGAAGAAATTGTTAAGTCTATTAAATAAATTATCTATTTATAGATATGTTTAATGAAATGAAGCCACTACCTAGTATATGCTGTAACATGCTGCTGAGTGTTTCTGAAGCTATGAAGTTCCTTCCTTCCAATTCTCTTGGGAAAATGATTGATAAATCAACAGAAATTCCAAGAATTAGAGATAATACCATTTTACAGTCCCTAATATCCTCATTGACTTTTAGCAATCGACAAATCCAGTTTACTTCTCATTCACTTCTAATGAAGTAAGTTCTAAAATTTTATTAAAGACTTAACTTAATAAAACTATAATTATTTTATGGTTATTTTTTTACTATTCTCTGACAGAATTATGCGAAGTTTGCCAGACATGCTGCTCAATTCAGAAAATTTTTTGAGTGATGAAGACAAAGACGAAGATATAGAAAAAATTCCTAATTGGTAGTAATCAAATTGTTAATTATTAGTTTTAGATGATTATATTGTTTTTTTTTTATTATTATTATACTTAGTTATCTGCCAAATTAATATATTGTTTTGATTTTAACTCATAAATTCAAAATGATGATTTCAAAATTTATACTGAAATTATGCCTCTAAATTTTAAAGAAACTAATTAGTGCAAAAAAAGCTTCATTGGAAATCTATTCAAATTTTTGTAATTAGAGAATGTTTCATATTCCTTAATGATATTAAACTTTAATTACACGATTCGGTAAATATAGTATATTTCTGCTTGCAACATGTTTCTTTTTAAAATTGGAAGAAATCGTTGCTTCCACTGAACTGACTACTGATTTTATTATTATTAATTTGGATTGTATATAGTTCTCTTGATTTATGAGAATTTATTTGTACCTTTGATTTTTTTATGTAGTTATCTCCTCAGAATTCCATTTAAAAAATAATAACTTAACTTTATAAAACTCTGCATTTTTACAGTGCATCACCTTTAATAAAACTACTAGTTTTCTTGACTGAAATCATCGATAGTATGTTACTGGATTTTAAAATTGGGGACTTGTGCTCAGTTTTACCAGGAACTGATTCATATATATATACCATGGCTTATTTACTTTCTTGGATTGAAATGCTCGAATTTATTTCATCTTCTCCTTCTCAGGTAAATAGACTTAATATTCATCACTTTACTTCCATTGCTTGAAAAAACTCTGTTAAGAGGTAATATATTTTAGGTTCGATCAATTTATGCTGCTCACCTTGAGGAATCAAAGTTACTCTCTGAGTTGTTTTCTAATGTTTTCCGCCTTATGCCAAGCAATCCAGTTGCTTGTATTGTAAGAAGTCAAAATGTCAGTACACCAAAGAAAGAGGATCTAAAGTTGTTATTTACTCAACCTCCTGTGTTGAATTTGGGTAATCAAAATTCAGCATATTTTCACTATTATTATCTATGACATTTTTGTTTATCCTTTAATATTTTATTTTAAAATTATGTAGTTAATTATACAGAAATAATATTTTATAAATTCATTTAAAAATAATTTATAAATTAATTTATTTATGTAAATTATAATTTGTATGATATAAATATCATTTCTGAGTTTCTAGATGGGGAAAAAAAGCCCAACTGTTTTATAAGTATGTTGTATTTGATTAAAGCTTTACAAATTTCTCTTTTAAAAAAGCTCATCTTTAAAATAAAATAAAATAATAATGAGTAATTGATATTTTGATTTTTAAAAATCAAGTGAAATATTTCTATTTAGTGATTGACGATAGTTCAATTTATTAGTATAATATAATCTTTCTCGTACCATGTGGGATTTTTTTTAAATTTGTTTGCTTTTTATCTTTAAAAACATTTTATGAACAAACATATGTTAATAAAACAAAGTGAAATATTTTTCTTTAGTGATTAAAGATTACTCAAACTGTTAATATAATATAACCTTTTTCATTCCCTATGAGAAATTTTAAGTTGTTTTATTTATATAGTTACTTATTATTGGAAAAAATGTTTTGAAGAGTATCTGTATTTAATTTTTTCTGTATACTTGATACTCTATGTTTTAACTGCATCTATTATATAAAAAAAAAAATTTAAAAATAGCAAGTTCTTTATTTTAATCTCACGATTTATTTGCATATCATAATATTTAAAAAAATTTGGAGTTTGTTAATATTTCCTTCAAACTCATAAGATAGTCATAAAAACTTTCCAGCATACAGTTTTGTGTCAAGAATTGACCTTACTTTATCATTTATAAAATCAATGAATCTCTTATCACAAAGTTTTATAAATTTTCTTTGATATGTGTATTAAAGACAAAAAGTATGTCAAATAACATTCATTTAGAATCATCTTGAATCTCAAAATTTCCTGATCTATTTATGCATATTTTACAGACTTCTCATCTTCAGAAGATATACAGAGGGTTGCAAGTTATGTTTATGCCACTGTTTTACGTAGAGTTCCTGCTTCAATTAGAACTTGGTGGAATAACCTTGACAGAAAATCTTCTGACATTGTTAATAAGTAATAACCAATTGAAAATTTCTTTCATTAGTTTAAACAACTATTTCCCTTAGTTAGAACTTTATATAAGAACACTATAAAAAGAGCTAAAAGAAGTGAAATATTGAGTAAATTTTAAGTTTAAATATAACAATAAGATGGTTTAAATCTTTTTTTTTTTTTTTTTCATTTTTGCAAGCTGTTAAATGGCAAAATCTAACATTACATTCGTATAATCTGTCTGCATCATAGCATTACCAATCTTGGCATTTTAATTTCCTGCCAAAGAGCGATGATTTTTTTCTTCTTTTTTCTAAGTTACTTATTAAGGTTTGTTGCAAAATGTACTTAAAACCTTCTTGCAATCCAAAAGGAATCAGACTGTGACTTAATACCTTTATCGATTCAAATGTTTGAAATGTAACAATTTTGCAAAATAAATCGATATTTTATAATTAAATGCGATCTGCCCCTCTCATTTTTTTTAAAATACTGTTACTTAAATTTTTCTGTCACTAAACTCTTCACAACTATTATTATTTTTTCTACTTTAGATTTACAACAAAATACATTAGTGGACTTCTTTGTATTGAAGAAATACAAGCTGTACATGAGAGTGAGAAGAACTTTGAAAATATGGTGGTAAGTACTTTTTCTATTTAGCTTAATTTAATAGCTGCTTAATTTAGACATTATACTTCAAATCTATATTAATCCACTTTCTCTTTTTTAGAACTTTTTTTTTAATTCAAAACCTATGGCTATTTTTTAACCTCAAGTAACTTATTAAGCAAATTGTAATAGTTTTTGTCACAATTAAATCGCTTCTAGCAGAAAAGGTTATATCCTGTTTACAACTTTCAGAAAAACTTAAACAGAATATTTTCTGCTTTCCCTATGAGTGCAAAAAAAAAATTAGGAAAAAAGTTTTTGGTCCATGCACTACATGGACCTAATTTTTTCAGACATTTTCTTTTTCTTTTATCGTATTGATTGGAAAAGCAGAAAATAGTTTTTCAAAAAGTAGTTAACAGGCCTGAAGAGTAGTTAACAGGAAAAGTAGTTAACAGGCTATGCATACAGTGATTCAATTGTAAAACTGATTTACTCTAAGGTAAAATCATGCAAAAAAAAATTATAATTAATTGCTGTAAAACCTCTTTACAACGCTTTATGAACATACTATTAAAGACATTACTATTAAGAGATATATTATTTGGTAATGAAAAAAAGTCAGTTTGGGCCCAACACAGGCTCATTAGCTAAAAGAGCTTTTGAGGCTCAGATATATTCTAAAGTTTACACAAATTTTATTACTACTTACAAACTAAATAAATGTACGAAAATTTGTTTAATTTAAAATTATTAAATACAAACTAACAAGTTATAATCTATATTTGATATAAATAATCTTATTTGGCTATATCTTGGGGAATGTAGGCTTTTGTTTGATAAACTAAATATTAAGCTTTGGCTAAAACAAATTTTTAAATATCATATTAATCATAGTGGGGAAAGGCTGAGTTTAAAAGTTTTCAGGCTCAATGAGGCCAGGCATAGCTCTAATAAGCTTGGCCTCTCTATGATAATAGTTAATTTTTTTTTTTTTTTTTTTTTTTATTTTAAATTTGGACGTATACTNGCAAATATGAACTTACTAATGCCAGTTGCTATAAACATGACTTATTATTATAATGTAAACAATAAAAGCTAACACAAGTATAATACCTATTACCTTCAAGTAAACTAAACTGTTGGATTCATTCCTGAGAAGATTTTGCACTGGGCATACAATAACCATTCTCGTTGAAGGAAGGAGCAAGAGTTTAAAAATCACTTGTTGGTAAATCTCTGATCCGTAAATATGGAGAAATAATTAAATTAGGCATTGCTCTTATACAAAATCTTGTTACAGGGGAAAAAATATTGATTATTATTTAAGTGTATTATTTTTCTAAAAACAAGTTTTACAAGGATTTATTGCCATATAGAAGTTATTGTTTATGGAAATAATTATTCTAATAATTTTATCTCTTTAGTACAATTCTTAGCGACATTAAAGGCACATATTGTTAGATGTCACTTTTATCCCTATGTTATTAAACATTCTATAAATTTAAAGTAATAACCTTTACACTGGGAGTAATTAAAAGATAATTAGATTATAAATTCTTATACAATCAAGACAGTTGTAGTTATTGAAATTAGTATTTATCTACATTTTACTAAATGTTGATTTGCTAGAATTATCTCTTATGTTTTAAGTTACTGAAGCTGTTAATTGCATATATACGTATAAATATTTAAAGCAATAAACAATTATTTGTGTGGTTTTATTTTAAATAGGTTCAAGCTCGTCCAGGGTCTAGAGAAGTTATTGCCACTTACACCATAGATGATTGTGCTATTGAACTCAGTGTCCAACTTCCTGTAAACTATCCATTAGGACCTATTTCAGCTGAAAGAAGAGGCAAAATTGTGATTGGACAGTTGGAATGGAGGCATTGGTTGATGCAATTAACCACTGTACTAAGATATCAGGTATTTAAATATATGTTTTTGGTTACTGTATATATTTCCAACTCTATTGCTTATTTCATCTGAAACTGAATCGTTATATTTTAGAATGGTTCTATACTAGATGGTCTTAATATCTGGAAGAGAAACTTAGATAAGAAATTTGAAGGAGTTGAAGAATGTATGATTTGTTACTACGTGTTACATAGCTCAACACTTAAACTTCCTAAATTATCATGTCGTGTTTGCAAAAAGAAATTCCATTCTGCTTGTTTGGTAAGTTATGATTAAATATTTGTTTTTAAGTTATTTTTAAAACCAGGGGAAAAGGATTTGAACTATTTCTGAGAATGTTTAACTTGGAATTTCTCATCATTCCTAGTTGCTTTCTTATAACACAAATCAGTTTGTAGTATGTTTCTCTTTGTAAATTAGTACACGACAGAAAAATGTCCGTTACATATAAAGGTTTTTGGGCCTTAACTTTGCTTGTAAAGTAATGCTATACATGCGAAAATATTCTCATTTCAGTACATATGTGTTCATGAAAATTATAATTGCCCATATGCATCTCGCCAGTTCTTTTACTTGTATATATTTAAATATGTATAAAAAGAGAAATCTTGCACAGAGGTGGTATTTGGTTATGTGAAGGTGGTAACCAAACTTAATAGGTAATAAATTATACTTATTAAGTTAGTCTCCTCCTATGATGAAGTTCCTTGTGTTACAACTAATTGGTTCTCCTCAAACTTGGGGCTAACATTTTGGCACAGGTACAGATAAAGAAATCTTCTCCTGGTTGTACTTGTGAACATGGTTTTATGATACTTTTATTAAAATAAAAAAGGTGATATTTTTATGAAACATATTTGGTTTTTTGACAACATTCTAAAATACCCTATTAAATTTATAAGAGTTAATATACATTGCACATTTTCATGCTTTGTGTTAAACCAGTTATTACCCTTTAATACTCATCCTATCTAAATAGGTAAGATTCTGACTTTTTATATATGTATCATATCCTATTTCTTTTCCTTTTAGTACAAATGGTTTGACACAAGCTACAACTCTACATGCCCATTGTGCAGAAATGAATTCTTTATTCCAATGCAGAAAACATAACATTGAAATTTGTACTCATTTGAGTTCTCATATTGTAAATTATCAGTGTGTTTATAAATCAATAAATTTTTATCTAAAGCTGTATTTAAAACTTAATAAAATTGAATTCTATTGCTATGAATGTTATTTACCATTTTGAATTTTTTTTTTTTTTTAAGAATTAAGTAAGCACAATTTCAACAATAAATTTTCTCAAAAAGATAATGATATTAGTCTATTTACTCTAGTATTTTTAACAGGGCTCGAAAAAACTCAGAAATTTCACCCGTCCTCCTTTGAAACTAACCCGTCGCTTCTAAATAAATGAAAATATAATTTTCTCTTATTTATTACAAACATTTCTATAAATTGCACAATGAATTAGTAGTTACTAGATTACAAATACTAGGATTACATTATACGGTAATAAGAGAAATACTAGGTTACTAATAATAACATAGTATTTCCTTTATGAAATAATTTAAATGATTAAGGTCAAGTTATCCGAGGATACTGCGTTTTTTAAATGAATCAAATATGATGACGTTCGCCAGTTCCACAATCAAGCCAATGATGTACAGAGGTTTCTGCACAGAAATCTGAAAGGGGCTTTCCATTTAGGTAGATGCTCATAATTGCGTTTAACGCTTCTTGTTTAAAACCAGTACATAATGTGTTTTTTGTAAGCTCATTGCTGAAAAGTCCCTTTCAACAGCTGCAGTACTCCCAGATAGAGAAAACATCAATTCCACTATACGCAGTATGTTGCTGTATTTCTAGATTAGAGGGTCATTTTAGAAATGAGGCGATAGACTCTTGTCAGATTACAAAAATTGAAAATGTGTCCCGAACATTAACGGAAAAGTGGCCGTCCGCACGGACATCGGATTCGAGAAATTGGTTGTCCGCGGGGAATTTTTGACCGCCGAGGACGGGCGGTTTTTCGAGCCCTGATTTTTAATATTTTTCAGATTTTATGTAAAAAGAAAAGTATTTAAACAATTCATGTGCCCATTTTGAAGACTTGTGCTTTATTTTGTGCAATGATTCACTATGTTATTTAGGAAGGTTTATTAATTTTAGTTAGAGAACTGTGCACTTTCCTTAGTTTTTATAATTACTGATAAAGTGTAAAGAAATGCAGTACACTTCAGATGTATATGCTGCAGTAAATATGTTGACCCAATTTTTCATATTAACATAGAAAAAGTTAAAATGGCATAAAATTACCATTGAAAAAAAATGTTTGTTCTTGCACGGAGTGTATTTTCACTTCTGCCTGAAAACAGGATGGTTATGGGTCAGAGCAGATATAAATAAACATAGCCAATGAGTAAACTTGCCCGATTGCATTGCTTTTGTTAAACTTCATTGTGTACAATCATTTAAATAGAAAGCTTAAACTTCAAAAGATCTACAAAAAGTCTTTTTTTTTTTTTTAAATGAGCTGTGTTAAAGAAAGAAAACACTATTATAACTTTTCTATATCTTTTTATAATTAGTGTAAATATAATTTATAAAAGTGATAATAAATACTTTTTCCACTATTCCAAAATTTATTTTTGCTCATTTTATCCACCAGCAAATGTAACAACATTGTTCAGAAGGGACTTGAACCCAGTTTTCAATTTAAAAAAATAAAACATCTGTTAGTAAAGTTAATTATGTTATCTAGGTAACTTTACCTAATAGATATTTTTACTGAAAAGGAAAAAAAATAGAACATATTTAAACACCATATGTAGACTCAACAAGCCTTCCATCAATCCTTTAAAATATTTCCATCTCTGTGACTGAGTACACAGATTCTTCACTAGAAATTTAAAATTGACTAAATATCTGCATGACTAAATATCCGCAGTTGACAGTAACCAACTTTATTTTAGTCCTGTCACCATAAGGCAATGTCAATTGAATTAAAAATAAGAAAAGTAGTTCAAAAATAAAAAAAGTAGAACACATTTTATTAAAAAATCAACAAATTATTATATTGGCACATTAAATATTTTATAAAGTATTAATGTCATATTGCTGATATAAAATATCTTTGTGTAAATTCAGTTAACAAATTTAGAATATATTATTCTGGTGCTATTTCATTAACATAGTGAGATAAAAATTTGCCATATTAGGAACTTTTTCCTTAAACAAGAATATATATAAGTTTCTTTCAATTTATTTATATTAACACCAAATATTTTAAATGATTATTACTTAGATTAATTATTTTAACTGTATAATATGTGGTTGTATAACAATGCACAATCAGAAAAATTATTTCAAAAATACAAAAAACTGTTGCAACAATTATAAAATTATATTACAGAGAAATATATTGTGTTAAATTCCAGAATTAGAAGAATTCTGTGATCATTCAAAAGTTGCCCATCTTCTCCAGTGTTCTACAGCAATCAAGATAAGATAGAGTTTTAATACACTTATCAACATTGTTCAGAATGAATCTCAACTGATTCATCTCTATACTTCTGATTTGCATGGTCAATAAATCTGCTTTTTTCTTACCATGCTGCCTGAATGCTTACCATGCTTCTTACCATGCTTTGTATTGAAAAATCAGAGTGAAAATTTTCCCCTGTTCATTCATAATAACAGTCTGGTAGTTAAAGGCACTTTTTACTGACTAATAATAATTCATTCCAAATGAATTTAGATAATTCCTAATGCTTTTTTTCTATTATTTTTAGGTTATTACATTTTAAAAACGAGGTTAACATTAGACCTTTAAATAGAACAAGAAAAATAAAATGTGATATTTGGTTCTTGATATACAAGACTCTTGATAACAATCTCTCTTATCTTATTAGTAACAATTAAAAATAAATATTCGCAAATTTAATAAATTCGCTTTTCTGAATTATAAACAAATTTACTAAAAAAAATATATTAATTGCATTTTAACAAAATGCAACGCGCATACTTACAATAATCAATAAAATATAAGTTAAGAACTGATTTTTTTTTATATATATGTAAAAGTAGATGTATAAATGAAACTACTATTAAAAGAGGAAACAATACTAGCTCCACTTCTACAGTTTGAACTTATACTGTTTTCATTCTCAAAAATTCAAGCATTATATAATAAAATTTTAAAAATGGTCTTAATTGTTTGAAAAAGTTTTTAAGGATTTAAATTTTACTATTTTAGAAAAAGTAAATTTTATTTAACAGTCAATAAATTAAGTTTAATGATTTTTCTTTAGGAAATATTTTATTCTATTTTTAAATAAACTAAAGATAATTCAATGTCCTTCCCAATAGTCTATTAATATAGCACTAGTGTTACAATAACAACCATACTAAACACTTCTATGAATAACAAGTTTAAAATTTTTGCAAATTTTAATACTAAGAATTTTTTTTTATACTATTACTCTCTATTAACTCAAAATTTTGGAATTACTTTGTTAAAAGTGAAATATTTATGCAATTTTTAACGAATTATAATTTAAATTACCATGGTGAATATCTTAAATTAACATTTATTAAAGTTACAATTAAATATACAAAAAAACACTTTTGTAAATACAAAACAGAGTTCTTGGATATTTTTGTTAACCAGCTCAATCCAGGTTTGAGCATAGCATAACTGGCCGTCTGACAATAAATTAAAATTTTACATGTATTTAATGAAACACATTGGAGAGAGTTCAAACTTTTAAATAAATATATTAAGATTATTCTATTACAATTATTAAATCAAATTTGCAAGACTTATCTTATTTAAAAAACGCAATGTAAAAAAAAATAACACGTCTTTAAAAACTTAAAAATATGAACCCAAACCAACATTTAAAAAACTTGATAAAAGCTTTGAATATATACAAACATAAAACAAAATAAATACTATTGAAGAACATCAAATGTAATTATTGCATTGTAGAAGAGTAACAGAATTTAAGAGATTCAACAACACAATTTAAGAGATAAACTTTTAATATAATAATAACAAAGAATTACTAAATTGCCTTTTTAATTAGGCAAATGTGGGGTCTTTGATTTGAGCAAAAGAATCCTTTAATTTATCCTATTTTCTTTGTGTCTAAGACAATGGTCTCAAACTGGCAGCCCATTTGCAACTATAGAAGCTTTTTTGCATTTTTCACACTAGGTGTAATTTGATCGACGGCAACAAATGTCAACTTTTATTCATGTACAGCCGAACCTCCTCCAAAGTCAAAGAGTGACAAGAATATTTTCTGTTAACTGAAATTTACATAAATAGATAAAGTAAGAAAAAGCATTTCTAATGACCTTAAAATATAACTATCTAAATCAAAAAATTTAAATAACTGTAGATGAATACTTTATTTTTTAAGTTAATATTTTCATAAAAAATTATATTTTTCTAACATTTAACAAGCCCTGACTCACCTAGATACATACATGATAATTGTATATGTGCTGTAAAATCCATTTATGTATACATTTCATGTGCTAAAATATTCTTATAAATAATAAATATTTTAAAGAGAAAATGCAATAATACATCGATCGTTATAACTTTTGTTTGAGATATTTGTTTATAAAAGAATCCACTTTTTCTGAATCATCCAAAGTTCAATGTGCATTTTCATCCTGAATGGCACAATTCAATAGAAGGCACTGAACAGAGTTTAAAGAAGCTGCACACTAAAATATTTCTACATCTGCAGGGAAAGAATGCAATTCTTTTCTCTTTCCTCAGGTTCAGCACCTAGATCTGCATCACTCACCTTGTCATCAAAGGTACACCCTGTCACGTTTTTAATTGACGCCACCAATTAGATTGATATACCAAGGACAAATGCACTATTCTCACTAGTCCAATTCAGGAACAGTGATGAATTTTTTTTCATTTGGAGCAACATTTTTGTTATTGTATCAAATTTTAAAAATATGAAATTAAAGACAAATAATTTAGAGGTAAATGCTTAACGAATTTGATTGCAAACAAATGAATCCAGGGCTAAATTAATAAAAATAAACAGCAATAAAAATGTGAATGGAAAAGAAATCGAGGAATTAAAACATTTTACAAATCTTGATGCCAACATATCGATTGAAGGAGGGACAAGTAAAAATATCGCTGTAAGAATTAAAAAAGCACAATCCACATTCAAGATACTCAATAAAATACATCTAAACAAAGCTAAAGTTTCAAATTTAAACTCAATGTAACAGCAGTTCTACTTTATGGCTGCAGCCCTTGGAAATTGACTAAACAACAAGAAAATCAATTTTATACTTTTCAAACAAAATGCCTTAGAAAAATCTTACAAATAAACTGTCTATATAAAATATCCAACTCTGAATTATATGAAAAAACTTAACTGTAAACTCACAACAGGAATAGTTAAAAAAACACAAATAGACATGGCTTAAATACATTCTCAGAATATTGCCGTCAAACCCAACACAAATAGCACTGACCTGGGCATGTAAGCGAAAGAAAGGGTAATCAAAACTAACCTGGAACGAAATGATCATAAAAGAAAGAAATGCTTTCAGATGGCCAAGCTTGTGGAGTGTAAGGTAAACAATACTGAACCAGCATGGGTAACATGCCCTCCTGGTAACAACACTCTTTTTCCGTTCGAGCGTAAGGAGAATTAAGTCAAGGTGCAACATTTACTTTGTCTTAAACAGAAAAAGATATTTTTTAAATTTGTATAAAATGATGAAAATATTATTGTTTTCTAAGATAACATGATGTTGAAATTATTAATTCATGTTAAGCAAGTATTTGTATTCAACGTTTTTGTTTTAATGAGGTTCGACTGCACTTAATTTTATAACCACCTTCACTGCTTATCATCTACTAGCACAAGATAGTATCTCAGGCTCGTGAGAGATGTGCACAATTCTTTAGATCATTCTCTGCTTTTGATTTGAGACCACAAATCTAAGATATCTATAAAAAAAAGTTGAATTATAAGATTAAAAAATAAAAAAAAGATTTCATTTCTCATTGAAAATATCGCTAAAATATTGAGAAAAGTAAAATTCAAAAATCAGATCTTACAAACATTCATATAAATTTGTTCACAGTTTCAGTCATTCCATTTTCTACCTCACATACTTAAATATACAAATTATCATACACATAAAACACACATATTTACAGTTACATAAATGAGAGTGAAAGCTACAATGGTTTTGGTTAAAAATTACTAAAGTTTAAAAAAATAATTTAAAAATTTTGAAACGTTTATATAAAAGATAAACCATTTAGACTATATAAAGTAGATGCATTACAAATATTTGATAGTATCACAGAAAGGCTTCCAAGAAAAACCAAAAAGTAAGGAATGTGTTTCTTAACCCTTTAACTGATTTGCTACATACATGAATTTTAACAAAAATTTCCCTACTAAGTTCTGTATCTCCAATATGAGTAAACTGGTTTTATATGCAGTAAACCAAACACATTCCATCAAGTCCAAAGTCTACAGTTAAATGGTTAATCAACAAAATTGTTTATCGAAATAAATAGTAACATAAATCAAAGCATTACATTTTTCATAAAATGCCATGAACTATTATTAAAACTTAAATTGATAATATACTTCTAAAATAATGGTGCACAACCTAAAGCCCTTAAATGGTCGATGTGTGTTCTCTCATAACCAAAAATTAACTGGAAAAACCACTTATTTGCCTTCAGATGTTTTATAATATTTTTTCAAACTAAATTTTATAAATTATGAAAAAAACTAATAATAAAATTCAAAATTTAAAAAAGCTAATTCAAGATGTCAAAATATTTAAACTTTTAGCCATTTCTATTCAAAGAAAGTTTTCTTTAAAACATGTTTAGTGAAAAATTTCTACAAGGTTTACGTAAAAGTTAGATAAAAGTAGTTAATAAAAAGAAAAAAACAGAAAAAAGTTGAGGGTCTGATATAATAAAATTTTCTGAAAGGAAACAAAACATATAAAATAAGAAATGTCTTAATTCAAAATTGTCACACACTTCCTCAGTCTTTCCATTTTGGAGACAAATTGATACGGTAAAAAATAATTAAGTTGTCATCAATTGAATTAAAATTCATTAAACTTGTAAATTGTTGTCACAAGAAAATTAAATTCATCACAGAGAAAGTCGAAAATCTACTATAATTTAATTTTACCAAAGACAAAATATATAAAACTTCAAAAAAAAATTTTATTCAAAATATCAAATAAATATTTGGTCCCTCAATTTTGAAAACAAATTGATATAATTCTCATTACACTAGGAAATAATTAATTTTTTATCGGTTGTTATCAAAAATCAAATTTATTTTGGTTATCAAAAATCATTTTTTTCTGCACACTTCCTAAAAAAAAAAGTTGTGCACCCTTATTTATAAATAACTTTAAAAAAAAAACTATTAAAGTCTTTTTAGTTAATGTCGGAGAAACAAATAACATAGTAGATTAAGTAGATCAGACTTAGAAAATTTAAGAAAAAAATTGATTGATAAAATACAAAAATGATAAGTGGCACTGAAGCATTAATCATGCAAAATTTTACTAACAAAGTATATATAGAACAAAATGTACAAAGATAACAAAAAATTAACAAAATAAATTATGGCAAAAATACCAAAGTTATTTGTATCAAAGACACAAAGAAACTTTTTTACACTTCGTTAACGCAACAAGTTATGCAAAAAGCTCATGATGAAAAAAAGAATCATAATGAAGTCATGGCAGGTGGTCTGGCATAGGCTTTTGGAATGAAGCCATATTTTCTAGTCTTAGGAGCATATGCCCAAAGCCAACCATCAACAGTTTGGTTATTCATATCAGCATACACCCAATCTCCTCTTCTTACACTTAAATCATCGGGTGCCTGGGCTTTATAATCGTACAACATCACTAATTCACTTCCATGAAAACGAAGATCTTCAGAGGGAGGTGTGGGGTTGTGGTGATTGTTATTTAAATTAGAAGCTTGATGGGCTTGATTACCACTTGTTATCTGAGCTCCAACATGATCTACAAACACAGTATGAAATAAAAATATTATAAAAAATATAATAAGTAAATAATTAAGTGATTACATTTTTAATTAAATAAATTTAATATTATTTAAATTATTGTGATTCAAAGATGATTAAATTAACCAAATAAAATTATTAGTTGAAGTTACATTGATAAGTCTACACAAGTTGCATTCCTCAGTACAGTCAAATAATTTGACCAACTTTGAATCACTTATGTCTATGGCAAGCATATTATAATCAGAAACAGCATTTTGTCCAGAAGAAACTAACGTTATTCCAGGATACTGGAAAAAAAACAGAAGAAACTGAACCAATTGGAAAAACTAAAAATTGTCACTTTTGGAAAAAGTGTGGCTTATTACAATATTAGACCAAAGCAACTTTTTTTTAAAAATTATGGAAATGAGTTTAACATAAATAAATGTGTCCGGATAAAAAACTGTTTTGATCTCTCTGTTCTGATCATTCTGATTCAATAGTTGCCAACTTCCTTTTCTGTATATAAACTATATTCCTTGAAAATGCTTTTGTCCTACTTGAACACTGGTAGGTGCAAGAATGTTTTTGTGTGGGGAGATCGGTTGAGTAGTTTTAATTTCGGCAAATTTTCAATAAGGCAATAGGAATCGGAAAACTTTTAAATAAAAAACTACTTTTAAGGGTTAGGCCAAAGTTACTCGAAGATTTGGAAATAATGTTTATTTATTTATAAAAATATGCTTTGTATTAACATTAAAAGGATATATTTTGAGCAGGAAAAAAAATCAAACTAAATAACTTTTGTTCTAATGTTTGACGAAGAGTCAAAAGGTTGATCTCAAATATTCTATTAACTGTTTTTTATAGTTTTGAAATCAGACTAAAAATGTACTTTCTCTGAAAAAGCACACCTTTTTTCAAGTCATTTTCAACTATCAAACTATAAGGGGTAGCCACAATCTGGAAAATATGGTTTCAATAGTTAAGTCAAGAGAATGGTCAGAAATTTGGCCATTTAATGTTATTTCAATTTTTGGATCTTTCATCATTATTTCAGAAATCCAATTCAAAAATGTTTGCACAGAATTTGTTTATCCCTCTAAAAAAATCTTTTTTTGATAAATAATCCATTAAATAATACAATAAATAGTTACAGAGATATAAAAAAAAAGCCATGTGTTTAAATTCTTATTTCTCAGAAACCATTTAACTCATTCTTTTTCCCTTTCAAGTTTCTTATTTTTTATCTAATTGCATACCAATTTATATATTAATTGCGAGTACTTAAATATATGCAGGGTGGTCTGTTGGTCCAGATCACTAAAATTTTACTCAGACAATCAAAAAATAATTATCAATGGTCCCCTGACCTCAATTAGCCAGCCTATCTGGCCAGCATTGAAGAGTGTGATCTTATTCTTAGATGCAAAAAGGTTGGGAAATCCTGCTCTAAACTTTTTTCAAATTTACTTTTTTTTTTCTTTTTTCAAAAATTAAAGATCTTAATAAAATACTATGACAATGATATAATTCATTGAAAAAAAGTTAATAATTTTAATAAACAAATTCACACAAATCCTTATTTAAATTTCAACTCATCATTAAAAATTGGAATTAAAAAATTTGATTGGAAATAAACGAATTTCCTGGGTATTAAACAATGCTTACAAAAAGAAATGTCAATGTAGTTCAAAAATTTTTTAGGGTAATTGTTAATTAACAATTACCATAAAAAATTTTGAAAATTGTAAGCATTGTTTTATACAAAGGAAATTTGTTATGGATGTAACAAATAGTGATTTGGCCAAATAGCCAAATACTGATCAGCCAAAATTAAGGGCAGAATGGCAAACTTAATTCTTAAAAAAAAAATCATTAATATATGAGGGTTGCTACTTATATTTCTGGCCTTGGCAACAGTAAGTGTTGCTAGGCGACCGCAGACGATTTTAATCGAAAGTTTGATATTTTTAAACATAAATTCAGCAGACGATTTACCATTATAGCTTCATTTGTGTTGTTGACAGTAAATTGAAAAGTTCTTCTCTTTCAAAAAATGGAATTGAATCGTGAACATTTTCGTGCCATTATTTTTCATAACTTTCGACGTGGATTGTCAAGACAAGAGTGCTTCGATGAACTTAATTCTTTATTCAGCGATAAAGCGCCATCCTACAGCACTGTAAAAAATTGGTATAACGAATTTAATCGTGGTCGATGTTCGATCCAGGACGAATCCCGTGCAGGTCGTCCAAAATCCGTTGTTGTGCCAGAAAAGATCGATGCTGTGCGTGAACTGATAAAGCAAGATCGTCATGTGACATACCGTGAGATAGAGGCGTCTTTGGACATTAGTATGACTAGCATCAATAAAATATTGCATGAACATTTGAGCGTAAAAAAAATTTGTTCGCGTTGGATCCCGCATAATCTGACAAACGCTCAAAAAAAGGCTCGTGTCGATTGGTGCAAGGAAATGTTGGAAAAATACGTTCAAGGTACATCAAAGGCTGTGTATAACATCTACACAGGTGACGAATCATGGATCTATGCATATGAGCCGGAAACAAAACAGCAATCAACTGTATGGGTCTTCCAAGACGAGGCAAAACCAACAAAAGTTGTTCGAGGAAGAAGCACATCGAAACAAATGATTGCCTGTTTCTTCGGCATTAACGGTCATGTGGCAACAGTGGCGTTAGAGCAACGCAGGACGGTCAATTCTGAATGGTACACGACCATTTGTTTGCCAGAAGTCATCGGAGAAATTCGAAAAAAGCAGAAGAACAGGCGAATCATTCTTCATCATGACAATGCGAGCTCTCACACATCGACTCAAACAAAGGCATTTCTGACGGAGCGAAAGATCGAACTGATGGGTCATCCGCCGTACAGCCCTGATTTGGCACCCAATGACTTCTTCTTATTCCCACACATCAAAAATAAATTACGTGGACAACGATTTTCGACCCCCGAAGAAGCGGTTGATGCATTCAAAACGCATGTTTTGGAGTTACCTCAATCGGACTGGAAAAAGTGCTTTGAAAATTGGTTCAAACGCATGCAAAAGTGTATTGATCATCATGGAGAATATTTTGAAAAACAATAAAACCCATTTCAATCCTACATATTTGTTATTTCATTATCAGGCCAGAAATATAAATAGCAACCCTCGTATATTACTTTTTACAAATAAATAAGTTTCACAAATGAAAAATAATCACAACTTAGCTGCATTATTGGTATGGGGATAAAGGGAAAAAAACTTTAATGAAAATGTTTAAGATAATTAGATATTAAGATAATTAAAAATATTTAATATAAATTTTAAAAAACTAACAGCCATTAAAAAAAGCTAAAGTTGAAGAAAAATAGAAATAAAAAAAAAACATCTAAATTCTAAAATAAAATTTTAATGATAAAAATATTTTTCAGAAAAAAATATCCATACATTTTTGAAAGAAAAAAACTATCAGAACTCTTCAGAATGAGAATCGGAACAAATCAGAAACTCTTTTAAAAATGCAGCGCTATCATAAAAAATTCCACAAAAAAAGATTATATACAAAAGCAAAACAGAAAAAATAATCAATCTTAATTTTTGAAAGAAAATTTTAAAGCTAAACCTCTAAATTTTTCAATTACCGTATTTTGAAGAAAAAGCAAAATTTCAAGTCTAAAAGAAACAACACTGTCTGTCTTACCATGCAAGAAAAAAGTAACAATAAAAGAATTAAGTTTATTAGAAATGCTCTGTTAAAATGTGGTGTTGTAGTTAATACAGAAAAACAAGCAAAAATGTAACAATTAGACAAAAAAAAGATCTAAACTTTTAAAATATAAAGTGTTAAAAAAAGACAAAATAAACTTGACTAAATACAATTTTTTTTAAAAAATCAGCATTAAAAAACTCATTGATTCCGTACAAAGTAATCTAATTTCAATTATTCAAATTTCACTTTTCCATCTGCCTATCAGAACATAAATTAACTAGTTAACTTAACTAGAATTTAACAAATACATGTAAAAACAATTTCTAATAATGAATAGTTCAAAATATGATTTCATAATTTATTCTTTATTAAATCTATGAGAATTTCCAGAAAAAAAACTTTGTCGAAAAATATTTTTCTAAATAATACTTTGCTAAATACGTGGCCAAGTATTCGCCCAACCGAATAATCGGCAAAAGGGTCGAAAATTAGTTACATCTCTAGTAATTTTAAAACAGATCGTTTTAAGCAAAAATTAAATCCTCTTCTATATCAGCTGAATATACTTCATCCACCAACCCTCTCCCTTATTTAGTAACAGGGCCGGATTAAGCTCAAGCGGGGCCTAGGCCATTTAAATTTTTGGGGCCCTTAGATTAAATTTTTTATCTTGTATATTTTTTATTTATTCAAATATAAAAGTATGTATATATCTTTTCATTTAAGAAAGCAAATTTAAAATAAAAATAAATAATAATAAATTAAATTTTACTTTATTTTGTTAAATTAGAACTAAAAAAATTATCGTATTTTATTAATATATATTTGAAATTGATTTTCGTTTTAAAAAATCATTGCTTTTCTTAATTTTTGTTAAATTTATTATCAAAAAAAATTTTTTAAGCGGGCCCCTAATCATTGGGGGCCTCAGGTCATGGCCTAGTCTGGCCTAATAGGTAATCTGGCCCTGTTAGTAACATAATAAACTCAAATTTTAAAAACAGTACTACAACCATTTTCCAAGCTTATTAAGCTGCATGCAAAATAAAAGAATGGTTATAGCTGAAAAAGTAATAGTTGAACAATTAAAATGTTAAATGAACAATAAAATGCAGATTTCTTTCTTTTTTCTTTTTTTTTAATGTTAATGAAATTTAAGGTAATAAGTTTCCTGATAAAACTATTCCTTTATTGATGAAATTCTAAGGAATAAATAGAACAATTTGTTAAGTATTCACTTGCCTAAACTGAAAAATATCTGATTTCTAATTAATTTAAAAACCTTATAAAAAATATATTACCTTGAATTACGTCAGCTGGGTATACAAAGGCACTAGGTACAAATCCTTCTTGACCATCTGACCTCACAATCCAAAACCAATCATGATCTTCTCTATTCAAAACTGTAACAAATTCTCCTCTCTCTACACTCACATCATTTTCATCTCGAGCAATGAAAGTATACAGAACAATGTATCGACCCGCGGGATCTTTAAAAAATGGATGGACATCTGGGATAGAGCTTTGAGAAGATGAGCTAGGATTATTTTGATTTAAAGCCATTACATTATTGTTAGAGCTTGTTTCTGGAACAACACCGTAGCTCTCAACATCAGAATGTTGCCCACTATCAGCACTTTGAGTTCCTCTAGATGAATTTTGATCAAGTTCTTGGTCTCTCTCATTCCTCGGGAGTTTTTTATGTTTAATGTTCATTGCAAGTTCAGCAAAATGGGAGCCGTAAGATGCACAGTACGAGTGAGGAATAAAACCTTCCTGGCCACTCTCAGCAATTACATATACCCAGTCATTTTCTTGATATAACATATTTACACTTTGACCCCTTTTAACTTCAAGTTCATCATCGACACAGGGAGTAAAATCATGCAATACAATCATTTTGGAATCTGGTGACAAACCATTTTCTTTTTCTATTCCAACGCGAACTAAAGTCTCGATACTGGCACTGCCAGTGATTCTGCCTATGCTAGGTGTTCGACTTGATAATTTATCACCATCTGAAATTAAAAACTAAAATAAGTATTCAAAACTAATAAAATAGCATTTTTTATACAAATTTCCTCTTAAAATTAAATAACTTTGATAAATTTTTAAATAAAAAAAATTATTATCATACACAAATAAGTCAAAATTTGTATAGATTTTCTGAATGTCTCAATATTCTGCATAATAGAAAGAAGAAAAATCATTGCACAGAATTATGCAAACCTAAACTAAAATGACTTTCTCTACATCAACTTTTGCTTCACTACAGAGTTAGAGAAAAATCTTGTAAAGATCTGCAATGGTCGATATTATTAATTTAAGTTAGCTCTACACACAGCATATATCACAAACTTTTGACAATAATGTGCAAACTTATGCAGTACATAACATTTTTATTTTCAACTTTACAATATAAAGGTAAGACCAGTAACACCATCCATCACAGCAACGGGTGCTAAAGATGAGCATCTGCAATTATTTTTCATCAGTTTTATTTTTAAGAAGTAAACCAACAAATCGGAAAAAATTAATTAAACTACTTTATAAAACATCTCTAAACAAACTTGTTTACAATAACCATTAAAGAGCTAAATTAAGAAAATACCTCAAATCACAAAACATTAGGATTTTTTTTTTCTCTGTTACCGGTTTAAAATTACAGGTTTATCTGCATAGGGATTTGTTCTTATTTTTTTAGTATCCTTGCATAAAATTTAACTTAAATTTAAAACTTCGAGTATAATTTTTGTGCACCTTATATTTGCAAACTTTGCTATATTAAGCTGAATTTTTACAATAATAATCTTTGGCTGAGGTGAGACTGCAGTGAGATTGCAGATAAATGTGGATGTAATAAGATGTGAATTAATAAAGGTGATGATGCAGATTCAGCCCATAAATCCTTTTAGGGGTAGATAAATAAGACTATATATGGTAATTTCAAAGAGCTTTTCAGAACAAAAGAGTAAAGACACCCCTTTTTCATGATAATTGAATGTTATTTCTGAAGAATAATTGAATGTTATTTCTAACAGCTTTTAAGAACAATGGTGTAAAAGCACTTTTTTTTTATAATTGAATGTTATTTCGGAAAGAATAATTGAGTCAATGAGTCAAATGAGTAGTCAGAGGTTCGCCTAGAAAATTCAGCCATAATTCAGAAAGGTATTAATAATTCTGATTAACTTAAAAACTAAATGTAACTGTTTAAGAATAATACTTATTGTTTAATTAGTTTAGATAAGAGAGCAACAAAAAAAAACTTTTATTTACACACTACTAAATCTTAAAAATTATTCACATTTTAAGGTCTTTTATTTATCAGATTTTTAACAAATTATAACAGAATTAATTTTTTATCAGCCTACCAACCAAATGTATCACATTTTTATCAGAATTGCAAATTCAATGATTAAATAAAACCTGGAAAAAATGCTAAAATATAGGAATTTAAAATTCCAGATGGAAGTAGAAGAATAATTAGAAACTGAAATTAATGGTGAATTACGAAAATAACTCCAGAATTTTCAGACTTCAAGTTTAAAAAATCAAAATATAATTTTTGCATAATGAGTCTTCAAAAACTAGAATACGACAAACAATTTCGTAACAGTCAATAAGTTCTTAAAACTTTAATTTGACAGATTCACAATAATGAAAGATGTAATTCAAAATATCCATATTTCATTAATGATCATTTAGCAATTGAAATTAATCACAACTGTTTAATACATCACCAATTAGTTAACATAGATTATACGCTTAAATGAATTAGTCCATGATTAGTAAAACTAATAAATAATTAATTATTGTAATCGTTAAAGTAAAATTTAATTATCAAATTCTAAATATAATAACCTTTCTTCCGTTTGCCTCGACGTATTCTCACAGGACACAAAAACGCCATTTCAAGAAAGGTCAAGAAAATAAAAAAATTATTCTGGTTATGTTAAAATGCTTTTAAAATGCATTTTTTTCCACCGCATTCAACATAAATAAAAGATAAGTGCAATTTAGATCCAAGATAATTTAGCTTGAATCTTGTCGATTCTAAAGAATTCCAAGTAAGAAATAACAATCCTCATTTGATATATACACATTTCACGTTCATAATTGCCCATAGGCAGAAGTTAAAAAGCAAGTTCATCACCGTCAAACAAAAACAAATAAGCAAAAAAACAAAGCCAGTAACTTTTAACGTTACGGTCGTGAAAAAAGCTGTCAAATCAAAGTAGTTTTATTTTTTTTAAATAAATGTTTTCTCTTTTTTTTTAAGGTATTTGAGAGACCTCTGTTAGAAATAAGGTAAAGCTACGAAAAAGGTATTTTGCTTCCAGTTTCATAACATTTCTAATGTAAGCAGTCTTTTATAAGGCATAAAAGCAGCATGAAAATATGAGGTTTCCTGAGGAAACATTCCATTTTAATTTTACTTAGATAAAATTGTTTTTTTTTTTTTAAACTAGGGAGTTCTATTAATAAAACACATCTAAAAGGAAGTTCCAAGAAAATAATAATAAGTAAATAAACAAAAATAACTTTTGCTCTTTTTAAAAAATTAAAAGGACCTTGCGAAGTGATCATCATTTTTATTTTGCTCACATATTAATTGAAAAATGTAATGTGAAACATCGTCATTAAAGACATCGTGATTCCAAGAGTTCTAGGTAAATAATATTTAGTCCATTAATATATTTTGCAAAAATCGGAACAGAAAATTGTCATGCCTACAAAGTTTTTCTTTTATCATTATTTAATTCATTTACTATTTTCTTTTCAGAGCTGCTTTAATTTTCTAATATTTCAATTTAAAGGAACTAGAGGAAAATTCTTAAGCATTATTTTATTTATAAAATAACGGTAGCAAAATTTCTTATTCGAACACCTACTTCTTCATTAGAACGCTTTATATGGTAAACATAAAAAATTTAAAAAATATTTTTTAATGAATTTTTTTAGGTATGCAGTGAAAAATTTAAATTTAAATTTAGGCGCCATTCAAATCTTATAGAAAATGAATTAAAGCAAAATTTATCACAATTTATTGTAATGTCAAACTTATACTGATGAAATTTTTTAACGGAAAAGTGTCTTGTAGGCATTGTCTTTAAAAATGTAACGATATTTGTCTTGTTTCAATATCCTCAGTATGCAAAGTATATAGTTGCAACCAAACTTTTAAGGTACCATACCTAAAAAACAATTAATTTCTAAGCAATTTTTTTTCGCGGGATTTATGTAATATTTAAGGTATTGGAGAAGATTTCTGATTCAGTATTTTATTTTTGCCTAAACACAAAACAATTTTCATTTATTTCATTTTAAATAAAAAATTTTGATAAAGGTACACCTTCTAGATTTTTCGCAATGTAAGTAATGCTACTAGTCTGCTTCTGGCTGTTCATGAATCTGTGGATTACAATAGGAAACGCATGAGAGGCTAAGCCTTTTAACTATTTCATTTTCAATTTAAATATGTGTCTCAATTTTTAAAGCCTGAGAAAAGGATCAATTAACTCTGTTTCAATACATACCGAATTCTGCCTGATTATCTGTGAGAAAGAAAATCTAACTTCCTATCTAGGTGTGGAGGGTGGCTTATCTTGAACAAAAGTGAAGCAAGTAATTTCATTTTTTCCATTTGGTCCGTTAGCTATTAACTTTGCTACGTCACGCGTTTTTATAATTTTTTGTCCACCACAATATCTTTACTATTATAATTTTTTGAAAAATGCATGAAATTAGTAAAATAATTTTTTTATTTAGATGCTGCCATAAAACACTAATTTTATTTTAATTGCACTCCTGTTTCTTAAAAATTCGTTTAATTATCTTGAACAAAAGTGAAAATATTATCAGTAGATATTATTAAAAGCTAAATATTATCAGTATTATAAATTAATGCTTTTATATATATCACTCGTTTCTAGATAAATGTTTCCCTGATTCTATAAAGTATAGAACTTAAATCTGTTTGTCTTTCCTCTGACTCTCTAACCTCTTTTTATAGGATAAACAGAGAAACTAAACAAATTTATTTTCCATATTTTATAATGATCCGGGTAATTAGCTCAATTGACAATAATGCTTAATAACGCATTTTTACCAAGACAGAAATCTTAAACTTTGTCCGTGTGTTCTTAATGAGATAAATAAAAAAATAATAAAATTACAGAAACTCATTTAGATATTTCTTCTTTAATTTAGGCAATTAGACTAATTGACAGCAGTGAGTATACGCACTGCTGACAATTAGTCTAATTGACAATTAGTAATTGACAGCAGATTTTTCTAAAAATGTGACACTATTAGTGTCACATTTTTAGAAAAATCGAAATGCTAAACTTTGATCATGTGATTCTAATCTGATGAGATGTGATTCCAACAGAGAATCTGAGAGAGATGAGACGTAGCTAAATAATTGTTGTTGAAATTAAAATTCTATTAAATTTTTATTGTTTTCCGAAATGGAGGGGAGAGATTTTTCAAATTTGAGGCGGATGGACACATTTCCTCATATCTTCATCAGCCTGGGGAAGATGGGCATCCTTGGTAATTAGCCTAATTTTCAGCAATGCTAAATTATACATTATTATCAATCAAGATAGAAGTCTCTAACTTTAGAAATATATTCTTTTTCTGATTAAAAAAACTGAGAAAGTTTCATTCCAATATTTGTATTCAATGGAGAAAATAGGGGTAATTAGTTTAATTGACAGTAATGCTTAATAACGCATTTTTACCATTATTGAAGTCTCAAATTTAAACTATGTACTCTTTGCGAGAAAAACTAAATAAAAAAAACTCATTTTCTTATTTTGTAGTTATCTGGGTAGGTAGTGATTGATCCTAATTAACATTTATACAAAATAACTATTTCTCACAAAATTTCCTCATAAGTGTGGATGAGCAAAAACAATTCCAGCTTTGTGCCATTGAACCATAAAGAAGTGAACTAGTACAAATAGAAAATAACAAGCAATGAGCTTGTGTAGTCAAACTGACTAGCCACTTAGGGCCATTTCGAGAGAAGTTTCTAAACCTTCGTTTAGCACTTAAATACTGTTGCTGAAGACCCAGAGCGGGAAGTTCGCGCAGGTGAAAAAAATGTAGAATCATGAAGTGGTGAGTTTGTTTAGGTAGACCAGCTGATCACAGTTGGAGGTTAGATCGCACTGCATGAGGGGCAACTCTCTCTGAATCTTGTTTCTCAGCAGCATGAAAAATATCGCCAACTTGTGTATCGCTAGCCGTCGGTATATTCAACCGATGAGGATGAGCTTTTTAGATATAGTTATATTCACAGGTATGCATGTACAAATTGCATGTGGGATTCAGTGGACAATAAAGTTAAGCGTAACATGGCATGAGATATGTGTGCAATACCACTTTTAATAGTCTTTCAAATCTGGCAAATTTTGTGGATTGCGCATATACACTCTTGGTTTGAGTTATCCCCAGAACAAGAAATCCATAGTTGTAACGTTGGGTGATAGCGGAGGCCATCAAAATGGAAAATGGCGTGATGTGACACAATTGCTCATATGCTGTTCCAAGACCCTAGAAAACGACGTCTCAATATATGGAGGTACACCAGCTTGCAACCAGGTGACGTCATTCTGTGTATTGTAGCAATTGTGATAGGATGTAATTTTGCAACAAGGGTGCATAGCAATAAGCCTGTCTGGCTTATTGCTGTCCACCCACATGCTACGAGCCTCGTTGGTGCCTTTCGAACGCAGAAACTCTTTTTATGTGTCGTGCACAGCACGTCCGTTTTTTGTGTCACGCTAGGGGTTTATATGTAGGCCATTCCCACATTGATCGTTGAGACACGGTTCCCGGCAGAGCACCGAAGTCAAGCATCACTGGCTGCGGTCAGTGTGCGGGTGGGTGACCACTTGGATCAGTCTGCGTAAGGACCGAGGGTGTGCGGTATCGATCCTCGTTGAACTATTCTACCGTAAAGTGCTCGACTTCGCGCGCAGGTCGTCGGGATACCAAAGCCCCTCTTCGGAGGATCAAAATTGTGATGGCATGTCTTCGGATCATCCTCAAGGATGCTTCCCGGGCAGTCGCCAATAGCCATTTGTGCAGCTCTAGTGCGACGTAAAATAAACAAATCAAAAATCGAGCAAATCAATATGTAGGTCAAGTTTTTTTTATTACCTCCCTGCTTCAGTACTCGCCCAATGGTTCTCTTTTACAAGTCCGAATTCGCAAATGGTCCTTACAACAAATAATGGCCTATATAACGGCCTTTATAACAAATGTTCATACAAAGACTAAAGAAGCATTCTCACTAGATGCGAAAAATTTGCGTTTAAGAATTCCGCTGGGCGAATAAGAACCTGCTTACTTTAAAATATTTAAAAGTACTATTCGAATCTTCATAAAAACTGCATTTCCACTGCATGCGAATCGCATTTGCTATCACACGCTACTGCCATTCGCGCATAGGCAATCAATTTGTCTTACATGTTATTCCTAAGCATTTGTACATACGCTTAGGGCAATAGGATGCGTTGTGAATGGTGCCTAACTAAAAATCAGGAATTTTTACTTTGGCTTACATTACATAAATACTTTGGTATTATTCTGCGATATTTGCAACAATTCTTTTAACGTCGTTAAAAAGATAAGCATAACTTATCTAACTTATTGTTTAACAAATTTTTAACCGGAGGAGGCTGGAAGTAGAACTCCTACATGCTCGCATTATGACGAGGAAGAGGGAATTTGCTCATCCTTGTCACAATTCTGACTGAATAGGAAAAATGCCGCATATGCGAATAACAACTGGATCTTTGTGTGAATGGTGCATATAGGAATTCGCATCATATACACTTCTTGCTTCCCACTCAAGGATGGCGTCAGACTTTGTGCGACGGGGGGTTTAAGTCTCCCCTATAGGGGGGCTCAAGCAAATTAATTCGAAATATATAAATTAAAACGTATTTTATACTTTACATTTTTTTCTCACGTCATTTTTTCAAGGGTGTTCCTAAGAAGCTAAAATTACTAATTTTGATACCATAATGTGCAGATTCATTTTAATATAAATTTAAATCTCATTTTGTTTCTGTTATCGATGTATTTTGTACTGTAAGGTGCAATTTACTGCACATTTTGACCTTAAAAATTATTTCTGTAATAAAGAAAAATTGTTGCCTAAGTCCCGGCTATTTCAAAAAATTTCTGATCTTCTTACT